ACATAAGCTTAATATGATGTGGCTGCCCATGGTTCTGATTTCTGTGTGTGTGTGTGTGTGTGTGTGTGTGTGTGTGTGTGTGTGTGTGTGTGTGTGTGTGTGTGTGTGTGTGAGTAGAAAAAAACATGTTGACTCACTCTACTTGTAGAGAAACGCCAATGCCATCCTCCTCTCTTTCATGTTGCTGAAACGGTCTATGGCTCTGTCATACAGTACACGCTTTTATTTATTGTTGTCCTAGGCTAGCTGGCTAAAATGCTTGCTCACTAGCCTAACTTCCTTTCATGGGCAACGTTAGCTAGTTAACATTAGCCTTCTACATCTAGCTACATATTGAACTTCCATCCTCTCAGGCCAGGGGCACAATGTATGAATTAATGGTTGGATCAGAATCGTCATTATAATCATTGGCCAGTACGGAGAATTAAGTAAAACCACAAGTTCAAATCCATATCTCCATCCATGGCTAATTTAGGAAAGGGACAATTTTAGCTAGCTAGCCACATTTACATTTACATTTACATCATTTAGCAGACGCTCTTATCCAGAGCAGTCACCAGAGGACAACAACACAATGAGATGCAACAATTCAAATTGTTTCTGTTAATTATGTATTGCTCTCGATGTAATGTGATTGGAGTGAAGCCAAATCCAAACTGGCTTCCCTTTACACTTTTTTTGGGGTGCGTAGGACCATTCACAGTTAAGGTCAACACTGATTGGCTATTATTTTATACTTTTTTTTATCAAGGGAGGCCAAATGATCGCTGGCTTCCCTTGCATTCAATACTAGTGCTTGACTGGCAGGTAGCTTTGTTCCACGCATGGTGTTAGGTACCATTTATTAAAGTGGTGTCATATTCTTTTTGACCAGACAGCATCAGGTAGATGGCATACACATAGAGAGACAGAGGGGTGCTGTTTCGCTCGCTTGGATTCATTCTCCGGTGAGATACATTCAACCTCTTGCGAATTGAAGGAAAATTATGAAACACAGAGATACGAAAGATACATTATTTTATATGTTTTTCTCCTTTTTTTCTTGGTAACTTTTTTTAGGAAGCCTGGCTTCACTTGGCATGCATGAATACACGACACTGGTTAAGGCGCAACAACCTTTTTCAAACTTCATTGAGCCAGTCAGTCATCTATTGCAGAAGTACTAAAGATTGTAACTACGATGGTATATCTACATCTGCACTACTTATTCCCAAATCTAGAAAATGATTTCCACTGCTTATAATTTCTTTACAGCCTTTTGATATAACTTGACAATATTTTTTGTAATATTCAAAGGTTTATAAAACATGTGCTTAACCGTTTCACAGTGGATAAAAAGCACACTCCAACTAACTGAGCTGATTCCTCCACACAGTCAAACACCATTAATAATTCAGCTGTTTGTTCCATTGCTGTTCTTTTGGAGAGTGGCTTGCTGATTAGAACACATCCTCACACTACAAACCCACCGCTCATTTGATGAATATCTGTCCCTGTTCTGCATTAGCTCTAACCACAGAACTTGAACCAAGCTCCTATCCCCATCTCATCTCCTGCTAGGTTTATGATATTGCTCAATTCTCAGCACAACGTCACAATGTGTCAAAACCCTTAAATGATGTATCTAGAAGGGAATTGGTTGTTACTACTGCTGGCACTGTTGGGGAGTATGAAGAACAACCATAGCACATCTGTTCCTAGTGTTAGTACTGGAGGAGGGGAGATTGTAGATAGTGAAGCTCCCTTGATAATTACATATCATTTACACAGCAAACACACCTCTAATGTTTATCACATATCAATATTCCTGCTACTAGTGTATATACATAAAAAGAAGCACATCGTTAACTGTCAAAACACATGATTTAAAATGCATGAATCCATTTCAACCAACCAATAATAGGGAACACACAGAATCAGGTGCATTGTGAAACAGGAAAGGCCCTCTTCTCAAAAAAGAGGCAGAGTGTGCATTCAAGACAATTCTGAGGAGCACACTCAGCATAGTCCAGTGGTGAATCCATCAAACAATATGTCCGAGCTTCCACTGACACAACAATAGAAGAAGAAGCAGAATTATAAATAAGGAAAATGGGGATATAAATTTGAGGCATTACTAATTGAGAGCGTCATAGAGAAACATTGCAGAAGGGATGACGGTGGTGTGGCAGAGCTGAGGTTGATTAAGACTTTCACAGCACACTGGAGACCCCACATCCCTCAGCTCTACTGCTCACTGCTCCCCTCCCTCTCTCTCGCTCTCTGTCTCGCTCTCTGTCTCTCTCTCTCTCTACAGACCCCACATCCCTCAGCTCTATAGCTCACTGCTGCGCCCCTCTCTCTGCTCCCCTCTCGCTCTCTCTACAACCTCTGTCATCACTATTCACTAGGGCTGGCACAATTACCGTATAACTGTGTAACCGACGGTTATAGATAATGACCGTCATGAAAATAAAATAACCGTCATAAAGAAATAGGCTTGGAACTTCTAACCCTAGCAATTTGACTGGTCAACTCATGGGTACACTCATGGCTCTACATCCAAATTATGTAAACTGATGTAGCTCATGCAATGGAATGTATTTTTTGTAATGTCAGTTGAGTTGAATCAACAAATCACAGCACATATTTTAGCACATATTTTACTTCCTGTTTTGCTCCTATGGGTACACTTGCATTGGCTGCCAGTCCACCTTTTATGCCATCATTGACTTGAATGGGGATGCCCGTTCTATTCATTCTATTTCTATGGCAGCACATACAGTCAGGAGCGGAGGAGAGGCATTGAAGCAGAGTGCTCCCAGCCCAGCTGCAGACGGAGTGTGTTGGGGGTTAGTGCTGGTGTTAGTTGGATTGTAGAATGTTGTTGATGTTGCAACCCCACCTGTCTGCCCAGCATTCTCCCAATCAATTAGCTGTAATGAGCTGTCTCGAGCCCTAACAAAACAGCAGAAGCAAGATAAGGTTTCTCTCATCTGATGGGAAATTGACGTGGTTGGTTGCCTCCTCTTTTGTTTCACAATATGATTTTTTTTTTAAACATCTGCCCCATTGTACAAGGCACATTACCAGCGGACTTATTAAATGACGACAGTCACAGTGGCATCAATCCATCCATTGCTATTTAGTATTAAGCTATCATTGTGTTCAAGTTGTCTAAGTTCTTTTGTTCCTGTTTTACAATCTTGCATTGTGGCTGTTCTATTTTCCTGCCAAATAAATAGATTTTTTGCAGCGGTTGCACTTCCTGAACCAATTTCCTGGTTTCTCTATCCTGCTCTGTTTAGAGACCTTGGGGAGTCTATTATGTTGCATCCTCAATGGACCTTTTCTTGTCAATACTGGTGTACTTTTATGGTTGAAGTCATTGGATTGACTAAATCTCAGTGAAATGTGATGTACCATTTGGATGTGTTGGGAAGCTTTATGAACCGCTCTATCATGGCTGTAGTTGTAAAATGGCTATTATAAAAACTCTGACATTGTAGAAACTTTTAGAGCAATTTTTTAAATGTAACTTTTTATGTCTAGGTCTTGAGTGTAGAAGTGTTTTTGACTAGTTATTGTATGTAGTGTATAGTATGAAAGAATGTATGCACTCTGGATAAGAGCGTCTGCTAAATGACTAAAATGTAAATAGTACTGCACTGTACACAATATTTCCCAGATGTCTGAAAGACAGTGGGTAAGCACTGTGAATAACTTGAAGTGGACATTGGAGCGTGACAACTGTTATCTTGCTGACAGACGTGAACAGTAGGGCTGTGACGGTCATGGAATTTCGGATAATGGTAATTGGCCAGCCAAATGACCACAGTCACCATAATAACCGTTCAAATAGAAAAGTGAATCTTCCAGCAAGACAATAACCCCGAGCATACATCAAAATCCACAAAGAAATTGTTAATTTACCACAAAATCAACATTTTGCACAATCACATCTCAGTCTCCACTCTTGAACCCCATTGAAAACCTGTGGTTTGAATTGAATAGGGCAGTCCGTCCATAAGTGCAGACGAAGGATATCAAGGATTTGGAAAGATTCTGTATAGAGGAACGGTCTAAGATCCCTCCCAAAGCGTTCTCCAATCTCATAAAACATTTTAGAAAAAGGCTCAGTGACATTATCCTTGCAAGGGGAGGGTGCTGGAGTATTGAAAACAGGGGATCCAATCATTTTGACCCCTATCTTTGAGATTGTTTTTAATTACTTGTTAAACAGAATCTCTTTATTTGAGCAATTGTATTAGTATAAAATATTATAATTTTTCCATTAACGAACCCAATAATTCCAGACCCCACTCTATGCTCTTATTAGCAACACCCAACGTCTTATTGGAAAATTTGATTTGATTTGATTTAAAGGGCTGGCCCTGCCTGTGGGAGCTCAATACAAGCCCTTTCATTCGCAGACCCCCACATCTGATTACCACCAGCACCAGCACATTAAACATGGACCACATATGTCTTGGGGCCAAACATGTGCAAGATCTTAATCTTCTTAATAAATTCATCACCATTAACGGAACACTTTTTATACTGTTAAAAAATTGAAAATTCACACCTAACGTTATGGTACACAATCACTGCTTTTACTTTTAAGGTAGTCAGACACTTCAAGCATTATCATTAACATATCAGCTGTAGCTGATCTGAAATGTATGGATTCCTTGATATTGACTTTATACCTGCTTCAAGTATGCATATCCCCGGGAATGGTAAGAATGGGTTTCATTAATAATCAATGAGTCAGCAATGGTAATTACTATGGCGATTAGTTTCCTGCTAGGCACACCCTGTAGTTACAGCCATAGGGATAGCGGGCAGCGCTTTGGTGTGCATGCAGCACATGGTGATCCAATAGCTGTCAGAGACTGACAACATGGGTCAATCACTCACTGTAGCATGGCACTGATAACAGGGCCAGACTGCTCCTGTAATGGCCTCATCCACCACAGCCCTTCAGTTATGGTTATTATGTCAGGCTGCTCTGTCCCAATTTAAATCAGCCTTGACTCCCCTCCTCCCTCCCCAGTCAGCCCTATCCACAAGTAGTAGCAGAGAATATGGAAGCAGAGCAGACTGATGCCCTGTGTGTTCAGTGATGGTGGCAGGTCCATGTAGAGTCTGTGACAAGCTGTCAATAGCCCTAACAACACACTGTATTGACAGACAGACCGCTCGCTACCTTTGTCTCTACAGCTCTCACACACACAAGGCTTTGTGTGATGGTTACTCTGAAACAAGACCAGTTCCAGGAATTGGGCTTATTACATTGCCATTGGCTGGTTCCCCCTACGTTCACTGAGCAAGAACAAAAGGTTGGAACACTGAGATTGACTTCCAAGTGGGTGGAGTAGGGCTTCCAGAGAATCGGTTTATTGCAATTAGGTGTCAAAGCTGATGTAAGCCCCAATAGATGGGCCAAATAAATCTCAGAGCCAATAGGTACAGCAAGCCAGGACACTCCCTGGTGACGCTAGCAACTCCCCTGGGACTCTCTCCAGCGTAACAGCATCCTCGTCATTACCCCTCCTCCACTCGCTCCACTCCCTCCTCCTCCCCTTCATCCTTCCCCTCATGGTCCCTCACTGAAAGCCTACAGTAGTTACCTTATGCTCCTCTGCCACCCGTAGTTCCACTCCTATTGTCTCACTGATATTCTAGCTCCTCTACTCCTCTCTCAGTGCAAGCACTTCTACTTTTGTGGCCCTCTTCTTTCTATGGTATTGTTTACCATAGCATCCTGTATTGTTTCCCTGAATATCTATTCCAGACAATATTTGTTTTATAACTGCATATATATGCAATCATACAGTTATGTCTAAAAGAAGAGGATGATCTATCCAACGGAGTTCCGCCATTCCCAGTGTCTCCAGTGCATCACGATCCATCATGAGCATAAGACATGTAAATTGAAACACACACACAACACACACCACACACATTAACATTGTGCTTTCTCATTAATCCACTGAGGATCAGGTCTGTCATTTTAAAGCAGCATGAACATTTAGCATGAGCCATTAGCTCAGTACTCACCCTGTTAGCACCACCACAAAGTCCATTACATTCCAGCCATTCCGGAGATAGGAGCCTTTGTGAAACGCAAAGCCAAGGGCGATGATCTTAATGCCAGCTTCAAAACAAAATATTCCAATAAAATAGGGCTCTGTGTCATCCTGTTAAGACAAGAGAGGCTGAGAATGTAAGTGACCATTGATATCCATCATCATTAGTTTATAATGTGATTTTTTTGTACAATTATGAACTGAATGTGAGTTCAAAAGCAATTTGATGGCTTAATATCATGATGGAGTGAGTCACGTCAATATGTCAGACAGAGCCTTGGTCTATCTGGGGGAGCGGATCAATTAGAGTGGGTGCAGCAGTGAGGCACTTTGCCTGAAGGGAGTGACATTTCATTCTTAAAATGACCAGCGTGCCCCAACCAGCTAAGTCTATTTGATTGGGTGGAGGAGCTCACAGCAATTTACCCTTTTAATGGCACTACTTAACAACAGAGTTCAATAGGGAGCCTAAAGTGGCTTTAAGCAGGGGCATGAAAGGCACCTCTGTGTGATACTGGTTAACTAACTGAGAACAACTGGTGAGAAACCCCAGCTGCCTACATGGGTAACATCCCCCCCTCCCTCCCCTCCCCCTTCCCCATCCTCTTCCTCATAAGCTGCTGATGGGTTGTGTCATTAAAATCTGTAACACTAGTACTGTATATAGATATTATTCCTGTATGTGAGAATATAATGACTGAAACCTATTTTTCACTTGGAGAGAGGAGTGTAGTTAACCAATAATCCAAAATGATATAATATTGGTATGGTACATGTGACCCATGCGGTGGTCACTTACCAAGCGCTCGGACATGGGTGTCTTGTCGCCGGCTGGTAGGTGCTGCTCCAAGGCAAGGACGATGCAGTTGGCTATAATGGTGGCCAGGATCAGGTATTCAAATGGAGTGAGACAGTTAAGAAAAACATACTTTGTAACGTTAGGCATACAGTACCTACCATCTGCAATACATTCTAACAGAAGAAGAAGATGATGAGGAGGAGGAGGAGGAGGAGGAGGAGGAGGAAGAGGAGGAGGAGGAGGAGGAGGAGGAGGAGCAGGAGGAGCAGGAGGAGGAGGAGGAGCAGGAGGAAACAGAAGACTGGGACCTAAAGGAAGTAAAAGAAAAGCATCCCTGATAGAAATATTTGTGCAATTACCATATTGAAAAGCTCCTCAACAGTAGGTACCCTAAATTATACAAGAGCTGAAGCATAATGGCAAAGCATATATGCAGCAGTAAGCTACACTCTTAGAAAAAAGGGTTCCAAAATGGTTCTGCGGCTGTTCCCATAGGAGAACCCTTTTGGTTCCAGGTAGAACCCTTTTTGGTTCTAGGTAGAACTATTTTGGGTTCCATGTAGAACCCTCTGTGGAAAGGGTTCTGCATGGAACCCAAAAGGGTTATACCTGGAACCAAAAGTGTTCTACCTGGAACCAAAAAGGGTTCTTGAAAGGGTTCTCCTATGGGAACAGCCAAATAATCATTTTTGGTTCTAGATAGAAGGGCTGCACGATATATCGTTTCAGCATCGACATTGCGATGTATGCATCTGCAAGAGTCACATCGCAGAACGTGCGATTTAGTAAGGTAAACATATATCAGTCTACAATATATTTTTTTTTTAAATGTTAAACTAGCATTATATCTGTCTGATATAACGTAATTTACTCCGATTTATGGGTTATTGGATACACAGTTTATTATTATTATTATTATTATTATTTTAAACACGGAGTTCGTTGCTGCACGTGGTTGACATGCAGGCTCTGCTTGCGCGTGACGAAATGATGAGCGAGGAACAGGCAAAAAAGACCGAAATTGAGAATTTGGTTGCAAAAAGAAATGAATCGTCAATTATATAGAAATATTTCGGCTACAGACAGGATGATGTTGACCAAAAACAGGTACTTTGTCGAGAGTGCCTTGCAATTGTTGCCACAACACGAGGCAACACGACCAATTTGTTCGATCATTTAAGGCGGCACCACAAATCTTCGTATGACGAGTGCAAAGCATCTCAATGCCCTCCAAAGCAAACATCTATTTCAGATGCCTTTGCCACTATTACACCATACGAGAAAGGTTCCAAACGGCAGAGAGAAATCACAGATTCAATAACATTTCACGTCGCCAAAGACATGGCACCAAATAACACGGTTACAAAGAGGGTTTTAAAAACATGATCCGGTCGCTTGACAAGAGGTATGTAATGCCATCACGCAACTATTTTTCTCAAGTTGCCATCCCAGAGTTTACGAGAAATGCAAGGCACAAGTTGAAACAGAGCTGTCACAAGTGGAATATTATACAGCAACAACGGACTTGTGGTCCAGCCGGACAACGGAGCCCTACATAAGTCTGACCATACACTTTATTAATCAGGACTTCCACCTGAAAAGTCGCTGTTTGCAAACTGCATTTTTCCCAGAGGATCATACATACATCCTGTATTTTTTCATATCGCAATATATATCGCAGAAAAACAAAATATCGCAATGTCAGTTATTTCCAATATCGTGCAACCCTACTAGATAGCACCTTTTTTCTAAGAGAGTACCAAAACGTCATTTTCAGTTGAACTGGATCTCAGTGTCACGACACTAAACATGTGTGACTGAGGGAACTGAGTGATTTGTCAGTTGCTGACTTCCATGATGTCTCAGTTGCTGCTATCCATGTCATCGCATGGTTGTTTATGGAGGCTATCTCCTCAGGAGACTGTGGTGCACAGAGGACTAGCATCTCACCTCAGGCAATGGGGTACAGTACATCAACAGATAAAAAAACATCATTCACTGGCCTAGGGCAGGACTTTCTTGCTACAATGGCTCCCATGAACCTATAATCTAACTCAAGGGAGAAAAATACTGTGCATGTGGCTTGGAAATGCACAGGTAAGCTAAAAGTTGAGAAGTGTTTACTCAGCACCAGAGTTAACCAAGCAGTTATGTAAGTAATGGATGCCATTACACAAATGAATGTAAATGAATTGCAATACCTCACAGGTTCATTATCCCAATCTCATGAAATAGTGCTTCAGGGTTGACTGTTTCTCTAGGAGGCCTATGCACAGCACAGGAGGTTGGTGGCACCTTCATTGGGGAGAACGGGCTCATGGTAATGACTGGAGTGGAATCTGTGGAATGGTATCAAATACATCAAAAGCATGGTTTCAAGGTGTTTGATGCCATTCCATTTGCTCCATTCCTACCATTCTTATGAGCTGTTCTCCCCTCAGCAGCCTCCACTGATGCACAGGTTTCACAAGCTGCAGAGGATGTCCCTCATTTGGCAAATTATATAAAATATCTCATATCAACAGGTGGCTGCCAACATAAAAAAAATATATATACTTCTACCTAGCATTTTATGGGACATAAAGGACAATAATGATACATTTTGCCATGAATGAAATCAATTGGTTTTGTAAACTACGCTAAATCCACAACTCATTTCCATTTATTCTCATGGATTATTGTTTTGATGTGACACCCACGCAGAATAGACTGTCTGTATGTGTCTTCCCGCTAGCTTGCCATTTAGGCCTACTATTGAGCAGCATTTTGCACATGGGTAAATGCAGCACCTTGGAGAGCGCTTGTGCTGAACCGTTGCTAGGAGAGACTTGGTCCGAGAAACAAACGGATCGATACAGCCGTCCCTTGGGCAGACTATCATACAGGCTTGTTTACTTAGCCCATATACCGGAATCAAATGCATTAGGTAAGTAGAACGTAAAATGAGTATAGGCCTCACCTATAATTGATGGTGCTTTACAAAACCAATCAAATTATCCTGCTGACAAGATTTTCACTACACTGCCATTCGGGTTGAAAAAGACAACAAACAAAACCTTTGTCTTAATTGTTCTGTAGCCATAGATCCGATTTATGCCACAGATCAGGAACACCACTCTGACAGGTTCTTGTTAGGCAACTTAGCTGCATGTAGGCCTACCAGAGAGAGGATGCCAAAAGTTGGAGAAAACTGGAATCTTGCCAAAAAACTCAACAGTATCACCTACAATAACCTATTGGAGTGGGTCCTCTCATCTGAGAGAGTGGTTATAGGCCTACTGAGAGTGGTTATACTGTATTACAAACTCCAGTCAACAGCTGGTTGTCCTCCATGCCATATCTTCTCATTGGCTACAGTAAATTAACTTAGATAATCATGCCCTATAGTCTGTAACCTTGCCCCCTGTTCTCAATAACATCAAGCCATTCAAAACCACGTAGACCTATAATCTTATAATAAAATAATGGAACGAGAAATAGGCTAGGTTGTTTAAAGCAACAAAGGATATGGCCATTCAGTGATCTTTTTGGCATATTTCCTTATGATACAATCCTCACTAAAGATGAAGAGAGACCGGTTGACAGTAAGACAGCTCTGCTTGACAGGGATGGGGTTGTAAATGGCCATTGTCCTGGCTCTTTGGGCCATTGATTGTTTGTACACCCTAGGGCCGCTTGGGGGGCCTGCTGGCCGGCCTGCCCCCCTTGGTGGGCCCGCTTGACAGACCCCTCCACGCCGGTTGGATAGTTCCTCTTCGAAGCGAGCCATTCTACAATCGCACAGATCTTACTGAAAAAATCAAAACTGAGACTAGATAAAAGATAGAGAAAAAGCATCACAACACACAGTTGTTCCAGCCACGAGTTCCTTTCGGTGTGTGTAATGTTCAAGAGAATATTCAACAAACATTCAAAAATAAAATGATGTATTTTTCTTCAGATATTCTGTTGGGTTGTACCGCCTCGTTACTTTCAATAGTCCAGATTTTCAAATTATATGAAACATGAAGGAGAAAGTTTATATTTCCATGTCAAATATTTGTCCATGGGTCTTCTTCTGGCTGAATGGCCACATATATGTAGCCTATAGCCTATCCCTTTTCACTGGGCTAAGCTTTAAAAACAGCCAGTTTAACATGTATAAATGTCGAGCAATAACAATTCGCATCATTCGCATAACGCATGCCATAAGGCGGGCTATGACTGCATAGCTCACTTACAATTAAGGTCCACATAAAATAGATGCATTTATCTGGTGTATCCTCCTCGATTGGTTTGCCATTGCGGGTTTAAGTTTTTCTTTTTTATTACCTTACCCCACGTTCCTTATGAAAACGAGGTGCCTCATATGATCGGTTCCAATAATCTTCCTATTAATTCGGGCACGGTGTGACGAGAAAACACAGGGTTGGCACCTCTGCTTCCGCTAAATCGCTCTCTGGCAATGTATAATATAACCACTTTCTCCAGCCACTGCTCCTTATGAATCGGCACACGTGACTAAAAAGACGCCAGGCTCCACCTGTACGGTCTCTGTATCCATAGCACCAGGGAGAAAGAGGGAAGCAGCTTCTCTCTCGCTCTTTCTCCCTGAGCAGAATAATCACGGAAGTTGCTTGATAAATCGCATCAAACAATGCAAATGTATAAATCATGAAGGACAAAAATAGCATCCGCAATCTCCTGAGATGTTGTGGACCTGGGCATCCTCCCTCCCTTTCAAGGAGCTCTGAGCTTTGGGTTATCATGACCGGGTGGGGTAGCCTAGGCTACAGTAGAATATGACTGATGTTTATTCTTTGGTAAACTCTGAGCGGAAATCTGCCTTGTATAATGTTATTTTTCAATATGCAAAAATGAACAGCTGCTTATTGTCTTGTGTGGTGCTATACAGCTAAATGGGTGGGGTGGGGGTTGCATCCAATTCAATACTAGCCAATAGCCTACCTGTATCTCTATCATCCTCGCTGATGTCGAAACTGTTCAATCCCTAGGATAACATACACTACATATTATTTATGGTTAAAATAGAGAATTAGGCTTATTAAATAATATAACACAAAACTAGACAGTATCCTAGGCTACTATAGGCCATCATTAATTGACATTTGCTACCCCTAGCCTTCTTGTAAACTGGAATACCCATCAACAAATATGAGAAATAAATCATGTTTTAAAATGTACTTTATTACTATACTGAGCACTTAATAAAAAAGGAGACATGGAAAAGGTGACCATTTTTGTATAGTCTAGGGCTAGGCTACCCTTAGCATTTGATTTCTGTCTGCAAATCTACTAAAAATACATGTCATATCAGTCTACATTTAAAAAAGGAGCCATAGTGGTGGTCAGAGGGAGTGAGAGACCCCCAAGGTGGTCGAGGGAGGACAGAGGTGGCATGGGGGTGTTATGATTGTGTTTGGGCAGAATGGGCACCTGACTGTTGGGCTGGGGCTGGGGCTGGCCACCCTCTCTAAGCTCTGAGCTCCATGGGCTATGGCGGCTGATGAGTGTCTACACTTTGGAGAACAGCATTAGCAGTTGTAATACTTGCTCTTGACCTTCCAGAAGTGATCACCGTAATCAAACCTGAATGGGGAACACTGGGTAGCCATCAAAGCACATGTTCATGTACTGGAGCCTTTTCATTGAGCTTTTTGATCGATTCTGTAGCACAACATTAATACAACATGAAAAGACACCATCTATTCAATTATTGTCTTATATATTTTGTGCCTCTCACCCAATCTGATCACCTGACTGAATGGGCTTGCTGGAGAAGAAGGCAATGCGTGGGAAGCGCAGGTCCTGGTGCATGGTGAACACTCGGGCTGCTAGCAGGTTAGGTTCACACAGGTGGTTTATAAACCGGCCAATGTTGCCAAAGAGTCGCGCATCAATACAGTGCACATCACCCACCTGCAAAACAGTAGATGAAGCAATAAATAATAAGACAATAATAATACATTTTATTTGGTGGACACCTTTCAGCATACTCAAGGACATCTTGCATTACAATCGCACAATTGGCCCAGCGTCGTCCAGGGTAGGGGAGGGAATGGCCGGCAGGGATGTAGAGCCTGCCGTTTGCAATGCCAGGGTTGTGGGTTCGATTCCCACGGGGGGCCAGTATGAAAAATAAAAAGATAATGTAAGTCGCTCTGGATAAGAGCGTCTGCTAAATGACTAAAATGTAAAATGTAAGTAGGCCTACATACTGTAAAGCAAGTGCAGTACATAACATCATAAAATTAATTGCATCAATCAAAGTAAAGTTCCATGCCTCCAATCACTCACTCAATTAAAACAATTAGTAAAGGCTGATATGTTGATACCTCCTGTGAGGCGGTAGCACAGACAGTCATGAAATTGTAAATTTTTCAATATGCTTTAGTATACCAAATAGCCATCAAGCAAACTAAAAGCTAATGCAGCAGATGAGCGCTGTAAGAGGAACATATATCACCATTGGCATGGTGTGCTCTTCAGCACCGTCCATTGGTATACAAAAGTATAAACATTATGCCACAGTAACAATATTACATTCAACTTCGGAATACACCATTGGCCAATAAAAATGTGAGATTCTCATAGATGTAATTTAAAATCACCTTATTGTCCAGAGTGAAAAGGAACAAGTCATTTTCCCTGCCATCTGCCTCCGCATCAGTAATGATTTCACCCACATACCTGCAAAATAAAGAGAGAGCCTGCTGTATATAATCTGTGTAATCACAACATTGAAATGAAGTGAAAAACAGAAAATTACAAATTCTGTTTTAACATGATCTGTTCATGACATCACAATTGTCTCATGTCATTTGTACACCAAAATACATAAATCGTAAGTGTTATTCCTGATTCTGAATCTACGGTAAAAACAAGACATTATCATTGTTATGGTTGGGCAGTTTCCCAAATACTCAATAAAATGTCTTCCATAACATTCAGGGCCTCACTCGCAAATAAAAGTTCCTTGAGGAATATCCTGCAGCGCCCTCACACCCCAGCCCATCTTCTGGATTTTATAAAGCTGCAGCCGAGTTCTGAAAACAGACAAGAGAAGACATGAATCCAGTCCAACTAACTGATAACACATAGAGTGTACAGAGAAACTAACATTTTAGTAGTTGGCTGAAACTGTAGAACAGAAAGGTAGACATTATATTTGCTAATTTTCTTATTTTTTAACTCTGCATTGTTGGGAAAGGGTTCGTAAGTAAGCATTTCACGCCAAAGTATACACCTGTTGTATTCGGCACATGTGACAAATAAAATGTGATTGATTGATTGAGTAATTGATAAGATGCTGGTGGGTTAGGGAGGCCCAGTTACCAGAATCCATTCTGAACCACCAGGCAGAAGCCCCTCCTGAACAACCACAAGCAACACACTTTACACGTCATACAACACATCACATATGGTCCATAATATCCATTTGAAATACATGAAAGCATTAACTTTACCTTGTAATGTGAACTTTGCCTTGATGTAGTTATGTACTTACTTTGTCATACCAACAGCACAGGCTTAGCTGGGCACACATGCAGGTGTTTGAAGAGCAGTCATCTGTACATACGCAATGCTGAAATAGAAGGAGAGTGAGATCTTCATTAAACAACACTTATCGAGAGTAAGTGTGTCACTTGTTCTGGCCCACAGTAACTAATGAAGCAGAACAAGATGGGATTCGACCTTGACTGTGTTTCACAGAGCACTGGAGGTTCACCTGTAAGTGAGTGATGTCCTTGTCTATATTGATTGGGGAGGTGACACAGCTGTCAGGGATGTATTTGTAGTTATCAGGACAGGAGTCACTCTCCACGCCGTTCACACAGGTGATGGGGATTGCCTCATACCCCTGAGAGATGTCCCTGAAGAGGACAGAGAGGACGACAAACAATCAACACACACCATGCTGTTATACCTGCTAAGGACCTTCTCTCCATGACTGTCCCTGCTTCTCCTAGCATCTCTCAGCTTCTTATTGGTGTTCAGGACCGCCCACACCTTGGAGTTGTATATACAGCAGTCCAGAGGAGTCTCCCCCTCTCTGTTCCTTAGGTTCACGTCTGCTCCTCGGGACAGAAGCAGTCTGGAGGAGTAGACATCATACTGGATGTGGCTAGGTCCTCTCTCACATCCCCAGCATGGCTATGGTCAGCAGCATGACTGCCACCCACTGGGCAGGCTAGCGCAGTCACTGTCTCTGGATGTGTGCATCTATGATGTGTGGACAGGTTCCTTCCATAAATGTATCTAGGCTATATACCTAAAACTGGTCTCATTGCAGGTTAGTGCGCTTATGATAATATATCAATTTATCCAAGCAGGTGGGATAAGGCTATTGATAACAAATCATATTTTTCAAGAACAACCTGGTGTCATGCTGCAGCTCTGGGAGAACGGAGACTGTTTTACTACTCACATCACACATTCAGTTGGTTCTCCCTGACAGCGATGTGTAGAGGTGAGTCCCCATGGACGTTGACTGCATGGAGGTCACATCTGGCATCAAGCAGGATCTGAGCGATGTCATCGGAGCCAGACAGGGCTGCCCAGTGGAGGCCAAAGTTCTCCTCCTGGACAGGGATCACAGATCAACGTGAAAAAAAACATACCCAGGAGCAACACCTTCCCCACACCACAGAGACAACCTTACATCTAAAGGCTATCTTGAAGGTACATTGTTATATTTTTTAGGTGAGAACTGTAACCTTGCCTGTGTCTAGCCTCCCCTCCCCAGGCTGTGAGAGGTGTGAGAACAGAAGGTAGGTAAGGTGATGTGATGTACAGTAGGGTGAACAGCATGCATCCTATACAGTACTGACCTTTTCTCGGATGTTAACATCAGCCCCTATGGAGAGCAGCAGTTGGACCAGCTCTGTGTGCTTGTACTCTATAGCCCAGGTGATAGGGGTCCACCCACCGTCATCCTGAAACCAAGCACAACCAATCAAGGTTATTATAGTAAACTAAAACTGAAACTAAAACTAATCATGAAAAAAACAAGTAAACTGAAATAAAATAATGAACAAACCCGCTTGAAAAACTAAAACTATACTGAAACTATTATATTTGACTCCAAAACTAACTAACGGTTCAGTTGTAGGTTTTTAGGGGGCAAAAATTGAATGGGGTTTTCAAGCTTTTATTCCTAATGGGATTTTCAAGCTTGTGAATCTGGTGGGTCAAATTGAGATTTACTTTATAATTTAAAGGTAGATTAAGTTGAACGCACCAATTTGTAAGTCGCTCTGGATAAGAGCGTCTGCTAAATGACTTAAATGTAAATGTAAAATGTAATTCAGTAAGATGATGTTGCCACAAGCAGCACCGCAGATATTGGGTGCGTTTGAGTTGTAAGGCTAAATAGAGCCCTATAAAATCTGCGTTGCAGAGAATGCGGATGCAATCACGGAATCCAGACATTAAAACGAAATTCAACAATATTCAAAAATGTATTGAATTTATTAGAAAAGGCATTAATTTAATAAACATAATGCATCAGTGATTCAGAACTTTCTGAAACGGCACAGGAATGCCCCGTCTGTGTGTATGTGTACGTTGTGTGTACTGTATGTCTAAACGTTGTGTAGCCTTTAACGATTATGCTAATGCTAACCTTCTTCTGGTAGAGCTGGAAAGGCTTTCCCAAAACCCATCTCAATTAAATGTTACCTACAAAGTAGCCTATGCTTACCTGGCAGAATGATATCATGATTATTTGCATCAATCCAGTGGCCATTTATTTTGCAAACTCTGCAATCACATGAGCGCTACAGCAACACCGCTTAACCAAACAAAGGTCTCTTCCTGGGGCACACTTGCATTAAAGGATGACTACATCCCAAAATCACAATTTCTTCCATTTTTCCCAGACCTCAAAAATGATCTCAAGATGTACAGTTGAAGTCGGAAGTTTACATACACCTTAGCCAAATACATTTAAACTCAGTTTTTCACAATTCCTGACATTTAATCCTAGTAAAAATTCCCTGTCTTAGGTCAGTTAGGATCACCACTTTATTTTAAGATTGTGAAATGTCAGAATAATAGTAGAGAGAATGATTTATTTCAGCTAATATTTATTTCATCACATTCCCAGTGGGTCAGAAGTTCACATACACTCAATTAGTATTTGGTAGCATTGCCTTTAAATTGTTCAACTTGGGTCAAACATTTCGGGAAGCCTTCCACAAGCTTCCCACAATAAGTTGGGTGAATTTTGGCCCATTCCTCCTGATAGAGCTGGTGTAACTGAGTCAGGTTTGTAGGCCTCCTTGCTCACACACACTTTTTCAGTTCTGCCCTCAAATGTTCTATAGGATTGAAGTCAGGGCTTTGTGATGGCCACTCCAATACCTTGACTTTGTTGTCCTTAAGCCATTTTGCCACAACTTTGGAAGTATGCTTGGGGTCATTGTCCATTTGGAAGACCCATTTGCGACCAAGCTTTAACTTCTTGACTGATGTCTTGAGATGTTGCTTCAATATATCCACATCATTTTCCTTCCTCATGATGCCATCTATTTTGTGAAGTGCACCAGTCCCTCCTGCAGCAAAGCACCCCCACAGTATGATGTTGCCACCCCCGTGCTACACGGTTGGGATGGTGTTCTTCGGCTTGCAAGCCTCCCCCTTTTTCCTCCAAACATAACGATGGTCATTATGGCCAAACAGTTCTATTTTTGTTTCATCAGACCAGAGGACATTTTCTCAAAAAAGTACAAACTTTGTCCCCATGTGCAGTTGCAAACCGTAGTCTGGCTTTTTTTATGGCGGTTTTGGAGCAGTGGCTTCTTCCTTGCTGAGCGGCCTTTCAGGTTATGTCGATATAGGACTCGTTTTACTCTGGATATTGATACTTTTGTACCTGTTTCCTCCAGCATCTTCACAAGGTCCTTTGCTGTTGTTCTGGGATTGATTTGCACTTTTCGCACCAAAGTACGTTCATCTCTAGGAGACAGAACGCATCTCCTTCCGGCTGGTATGACGGCTGCGTGGTCCCATGGTGTTTATACTTGCGTACTATTGTTTGTACAGATGAACGTGGTACCTTCAGGCGTTTGGAAATTGCTCCCAAGGTCTACAATTTTTTTCCTGAGGTCTTGGCTGATTTCTTTAGATTTTTCCATGATGTCAAGCAAAGAGGCACTGAGTTTGAAGGTAGGCCTTGAAATACATCCACAGGTACACCTCCAATTGACTCAAATGATGTCAATTAGCCTATCAGAAGCTTTTAAAGCCATTAAATCATTTTCTGGAATTTTCCAAGCTGTTTAAAGGCACAGTCAACTTAGTGTATGTGAACTTCTGACCCACTGGAATTGTGATACAGTGAATTATAAGTGAAATAATATGTCTGTAAACAATTGTTGGAAAAATTACTTGTGTCATGCACAAAGTAACCGACTTGCCAAAACTATAGTTTGTAACAAGAAATGTGTGGAGTGGTTGAAAAACGAGTTTTAATGACCCCAACCTAAGTGTATGTAAACTTCCGACTTCAACTGTAGTTTAAACATTGTTGTCGAATTAGAACATCCAATAATTTTTTTATTCAATGTGTGATTTTGTGAGCGAAAACCTGGAAAAACAGGGGGAAACAGAAACCTGGAAAAACAGGGGGAAACGGAAACCTGGAAAAACAAAACGGAGAAAACAAAATGTTGGGGGAAAAAATATTTTATAGGGCCCTAGCTAAAGCAACCGACTGTAGAAGAAAGTCGAGGAGTGACGTCGGGGGAGATGCATCTGTGACAGCTGAAAGTTCGGATGCTAATGTGTTTTTCTAACAGCAAGGCTCAGATCAACATGGCAGTTTTTATAAAACGTCGACATTCACGTGTATCTAACCCCCATATTACACACTCACAAACTGAAATCATAATATAATAGTGTGTACATTGTACAATCAATTAGTGACAGAGAGCCTCAAATATCACATGCATTTGTATATATCCACTGTACACATAAATCATAAATGGGTTCCTGTTTCAGTCATGTTTTTGGTCATGTTCAGAATGCAAAGGCGGTGACAATTGTTGGTCACCGACTTGACAAAAGTGATCCGCTCAAACCCGTCCATTGAGATGAACACAACAGCAAAGTGCGTTGTTAAATGCTTTTTTGCCCTTCCGCTTCACTTTATACACAGAAGATCTCTGCTAAACACAGAATCCAGATGTTTATCAATCTCTCTTTGACCTCTGATAAATTCAGAACGAAGTTGACTACAATTACAAAGTTGCCAATGTCTTTGCAATTGTTACAAACAAGCGAAGGACAAAAAGCCTAACTTCCATCGCTATTGGGAAACCGGCCCCTGCTTGTTGCGGAAATTGACCCACTACTACTGTTTACTTGGTGCTTCTACGTAATCTTGCTGAGTCTACCTTTAAACCTAACCTATGACCTGACCCATCACCTTATGCATTACTGCCCCACAGTGGCAAGAAGTGACATCCCAAAAAACACAAAAACAGCTTCTAGCCTCCCATGCATTGGCTACTTTCTGTCCCTAATACTGAAACTAAAATTGAATAATATAAAAACTAAATAGAAATGTTTTTATGAAACTTAAGCCTTTATTTGAGGAGTAAAAAAAGAAATCACGATTGTTCATACCGATCTAAAACGACACGTAAATAGATACAAGCTGTAAAATGCCAAAGGAAGACGTGACTGATGCACATGGGAATTTCGAAACTATTAACAACTCATTCTTTTGCATCTGTAATGCTAATGCTCAAAATTATCTTCTCCTCATGAACCATACGAGATTCACTCAGATTTTGTATTTAGACTCATGATTGCACATAAAGGAAGATAGTTCCTACATGATAGAGTGCTTACTTTGTTATCGAACTGATCTTGTGTCCTTTTTGACATCCTGTGAACCCCGTTCATTGCTGCTGCAGCTACAGTACCTTCAGAAAGTATTCACACCCCTTGACTTTTTCCACATTTTGTTGTGTTACAGGCTGAAATGTCTTGCGTCAATAAGTATTCAACCCCTTTGTTATGGCAAGCCTAAATAAGTTCAGGAGTAAAATTATTCTGAACAAGTCACAGAAGTTGCATGGACTCACTCTGGTTTGCAATAATAGTGTTTAACATGATTTTTGAATGACTACCTCATCTCTGTACCCCACACATACAATTATCTGTAAGGTCCCTCAGTCGAGCAGTGCATTTCAAACACAGATTCAACCACAAAGACCAGGGAGGTTTTTCAATGCCTCGCAAAGAAGACCACCTATTGGTAGATGGGTAAAACATTTAAATAAAGCAGACATTGAATATCCCTTTGAGCATGGTGAAGTTATTAATGACACTTTGTATGGTGTATCAATACACCCAGTCACTACAAAGATACAGGCATGCTTCCTAACTCAGTTGCCCGAGAGGAAGGAAACCACTCAGGGATTTCACCATGAGACCAATGGTGACTTTAAAACAGTTACAGAGTTTAATGGCTGTGATAGGAGAAAACTGAGAATGGATCAACAACATTGTAGTTACTCCACCTAATTGACAGTGAATAGAAAGAAGCCTGTACAGAATATAAATATTCCAAAACATGAATCCTGTTTGCAACAAGGCACTAAAGTAATAATGCAAAAAATGTGGTAAAGCCATTCACTTTTTGACCTGAATACAAAGTGTTATGTTTGGGGCAAATCCAATACTGAGTACCACTCTCCATATTTTCAAGCATAGTGGTGGCTGCAACATGTTATGGGTATGCTTGTAATAGCTGAGGACTGGGGAGTTTTTCAGGATAAAAAATAAAACTGAAAGGAGCTAAGCACAGGCAAAATCCTAGAGGAAAACAGGGTTTAGTCTGCTTTCCACCAGACAATGGGAGAATAATTTACCTTTCAGCAGGATAACCTACAACACAAGGCCAAATCTACACTGGAGTTGCTTACCAAGAAGACAGTGAATGTTCCTGAATGGCTGAGTTGCAGTTTTGACTATCTATGGCAAGACCTAAAAATGGTTGTCTAGCAATGATCAACAACCAACAACAGAGCTTGAAGAATTTTGAAAATAATAATGGGAAAATGTTGCACAATTCAGGTGTGGAAAGCTCTTAGAATGACTCACAGTTGTAATCGCTGCTTCTACAAAGTATTGACTTCAGGAGTAGATATTTCTATATTTCATTTTCAATAAATTTGCTAAAATTGTATTTCTAAAAACATGTTTTCACTTTGTCATTATGAGGTATTGTGTGTAGATGGGTGAGATAAAAAATATTTTGAATCCATTTTGAATTCAGGCTGTAACACAACAAAATGTGGAATAAGTCAAGGGGTATGAATACTTTCTGAAGGCACTGTATATTTATAATTATTATCATTAAATAGCCTAACTAAAAGATGTCATGAGTTTTGTTAAACTACAAAGAATTGCAGGAAATTAGCTTCAAAACACAATGTTTTCCTAGGTGCCTCAAATTAAACAAAATCAGGCATACAAATGCAAGGCAAAACATGATAAATCACCTGGAATCATGACAACAGTGAGGAGCAATTTCAGTCTCTATCTTTCCCCTTAAGGTCAAGAGTTTTACAATCCATTTAATATTACCCACAACATATTGAACATCCTAATAGGCAGACTGTTAAACTGGGCTGTCTTCCAACAACACTGACCGCCAACTCACCCTCCTAAAGTCTAGCTGATAGTACGCGTGAATTATGGCTAGACGATTTCAATGAAGCTGTTAACATTTCAACTGGACCTGTTAATAGAAGAAGGAGCAGAGCATGGATGGGTAACTACCTGACAGTTGACCTGTTTGGATTCCTTGGACAGGAAATTATCCACGATGGAGTAATGTCCCAGTTTAGCTGCCAAATGCAGACAAGTGGAGCCCTTGATACCCTGAGAGGAGATGAAGATCAAAATGTTTTTCACTGGTTTTGTTCATGGCTATTTAAAGAAACACCTACCTTTTTTGTTGATGTTGTAGTTTTACCCCTTTTTGTGATATCCAATTGGTAGTAACAGTCTGATCCCATCGCTGTCTTGTCCCATTGCTACGGACTTGGGAGAGGCGAAGTTTGAGAGCCATGCCTCCGAAACACGACCATACCAAGCCGCACTGCTTCTTGACACACTGCTCGCTTATCCCGGAAGCCAGCCACACCAACGTGTCGGAGGAAACACCATCCAGCTGGCAACCGAATTCAGCTTGCAGGCGCCCAGCCCGCCACAAGGAGTCGCTAGAGCGCGATGGGACAAGGAAATCCCGGCCGGCCAAACCCTCCCCTAACCCGGACGACGCTGGGCCAATTGTGCGCCACTCGGGAGGCCCAAAACACTGACCTTGAGCTGCTACAGTATGTGGTTAATAGTTTAAGACATGAACGTGTCATGGACATAAAACAGCTTGATCACTTTACAGTACACCAGAGGTCCAGCTCATTTAGCGAAAGTCTTATCCTATGAACGGTAACACAGCTGGTGGGGTTGACAGAAGATCATGGCCTATCTATGGGGTGATCAATGAACTCCACGCACTGACCTTATAGCTGACCGCTGACCCGGCCCTCAGCAGGTACTTGACCGTGTCCAGATGGTTGTTGTCACAGGCGTCCATCAGGGGGGTTCTCTGCTCCTCATCAAACATGTCCAGGTTAGCTCCAGCCTAAGCGAGATAGGGAATAAGAAACCTTTCACACCTGTATGCTTGCACAGTATAATAGAGTGAAAGTTATGTCCCGTCCAACACTCACAACCCTCTGCACAGTAAACACAACGTACTCAAGAAGCACTGTCAATATTGACCCAGAAAAGCAAATACATTTTCTTGGTGTGAGGGACAGTACTTCAAATCTCTGAAGGAATGCAGCAGAGCTGCTAGCTTAGTCATCTGCTACACTTGTATGCCAAGTGATTATATTGTGAAGAGATAGGCAATACCTGCTATATGTCAGAGTACATCTCCTCACCTGGACAAGCATGTGACAGATCTCCTGGTGTCCTTCATCTGCTGCAGCATGTAGAGCGGTCCTCTTGTTCTGATTGTCCATCAGGTAGTTTGGGTCTTTTCCATCCACTGGAACAAATAAGTAAATTACCCTTTGAGTCATGTTGACAACTTTCCCCTCGGGGACAATAAAGTATATCGTATCATATAATTTCCAGGTGTGAAAATAAAATAAAATCAATAAGTTGTTTACCTTTTCATTAATGTTAAAATATTAGAAGAGGTGGCTCCATGTAGGAACGAACTCTGCTTACAAAATACATCTGGAGAGATGTGGCATGTTCTTACCCAGCAGATGGATGACTTTCTGGAGCTCCCCATGATGGGCAGAGATGTACAGTTGCTTCGTGTGATATTTCACTTTCTTTGGCCTCATACTAGATACCAAAAAGAGAAATCTAGCTACATCACTTGGTATGCAGCAGCAACATCTGTAAGAGTGCCTATTACAATCATAATTGACATGAAACAGTAATGACTATGGACCTACTATGTGTTCATTATATTATCTTATCCAAACTACTAAAAGTCTAATAAGTAATGACTTTAAAAATAGCTAAATTGTAAACTTACTTTTCCTCATCCAGGGCCATCAGGATGCTCTCCAGTGACGTTTTAGCTGGTTCCTCTCCATCACCTAAAGGCTCCCTCTAAATGCCCAAGCACATTATCAATGGTAGCACTAATGCAGAGAGAAAGAGACACAGATTAGGATAGAGGGAAGTAAATTGAGAATGGAAGAGTAAAGTCTGAACTACCTGTTGTTGGGTAGGTGTCCAGCGTCCTCTCAAGCTCCGTGGTCTTCTTAGCCCTGTGAATGAGGGGCCTGGTGGACACAGCAGGAACAGGGGCCACAGGGGAAACAGCTGACACAGGAGGAAGTACGGGCTCAGGTTTGGGGACAGTAACAGGCTTGGGAACAGTGACTTCCTGGGCCCCGGTGGCATCCTCCCCACAGTGGGGACAGAAGCTCTGGGCCTTGATGACTGAGGCACAGCCACTGTGGAAACAGTGAGAGATGCTGCCATACGTTCAGCACTCCATGAAGGTCCCCTGCATAACACATCCATTGGCAAGAAAAAGTATGTGAACCCTTTGGAATTACCTGGATTTCTGCATAAATTAGTCATAACATTTTATCTGATCTTCATCTAAATCACAACAATACACAAACACAGTCTGCTTAAACTAATCACACGCAAACAATTATATGTTTTCATGTCTTTATTGAACACACCGTGTAAACATTCACAGTGCAGGGTGGAAAAAGTATGTGAACCCTTGGATTTAATAACTAGTTGTGACCCTCTTGTGGCAGCAATAACCTCAACCAAACGTTTTCTGTAGTTGCAGATTTTTGACCATTCCTCTTTACAAAACTGTTTCAGCTCAGCAATATTCTTGGGATGTCTGGTGTGAACTGCTCTCTTGAGGTCATGCCACAGCATCTCAATCAGGTTGAAGTCAGGACTCTGACTGGGCCACTCCAGAAGGCGTATTTCCTTCTGTTGAAGCCATTCTGTTGTTCATTTACTTCTGTGTTTTGGGTCGTTGTCCTGTTGCATCACCCAACTTCTGTTGAGCTTCAATTGGCGGACAGATAGCCTTACATTCTCCTGCAAAATGTCTTGATAAACTTGGGAATTCATTTTTCCGTCGATGATAGCAAGCTGTCCATGTCCTGAGGCAGCAAAGCAGCCCCAAACCATGATGCTCCCTCCACCATACTTTACAGTTGGGATGAGGTTTTGTTGTTGGTGTGCTGTGCATTTTTTCTCCATACATAGTGTTGTGTGTTCCTTCAAAACAACTCAACTTTAGTTTAATCTGTCGGCAGAATATTTTGCCAGTAGCGCTGTGGAACTTCCAGGTGCTGTTTTGCGAACTTCAGATGTGCAGCAATGTTTTTTTTGGACAGCAGTAGCTTCTTCCGTGGTGTCCTCCCATGAACACCATTCTTGTTTAGTGTTTTACATATCGTAGACTCGTCAACAGAGATGTTAGCATGTTCCAGAGATTTCTGTAAATCTTTAGCTGACACTCTAGGATTCTTCTAAACCTCATTGAGCGTTCTGCGCAGTGCTCTTGCAGTCATCTTTGCAGGACGGCCACCCCTAGGGAGAGTAGCAACAGTGCTGAACTTTCTCCATTTATAGACAATTTGTCTTACCGTGGACTGATGAACATCAAGGCATTTAGAGATACTTTTGTAACCCTTTCCAGCTTTATGCAAGTCAACAATTCTTCTGAGATCTCTTTTGTTTGAGGCATGGTTCACATTAGGGTGTCTTTTCCCTGCCTCTAATTCCTGACTGACTCCTCTACTCTCCATGGCTGTCCAGGAGGAATCCTCTGGCCTCTCCACACCAATGTCAACAGTTTCACCTGGAAGATTACAGCTGTTAGTCCCATCAAATAAGATGCTACATTAATCACATTCACACACTTTTAAGTGGACGAGTGGTAGTTGTAAATGAGGCCAATGTGACAGTGTTTATAGCATAGGTAGAACTCACCAGTCCCTCTGGATCTGGGGCAGCAGGTGCTCCTTTTTCACCGTAGATCTCTCAGAATCTGCCTCACAGCTCTTCTAGGGTAGTACCTGGCAAGCTGAGAAATATCACCCGAATCAGGACAATCCCATTTGACATACCAGTGAATTACATTTCAGCACAGTTCAGTATCTCAATTGCAGAACTTGTGCCTACTTAGCACAAGTTTAGTTTTCACAAAACTTTAAAAACCACAAGTACTTCTCTAATCCATGTTTAGTACTTCTACAAATGATGCTGTACTACCAGAACCCAACTTTCAAATCCGTAAACTACATCTTTACAAAAACAAAGCTTAACCTACTAGGATCACACACAGAGAGGAAAGCACTGAAAGACTCAAAAAAGTACATGCAAATACAAGTAAGATCCAGAAGTATGCCCTTGCAAAAGTTTAGGCAACAAAGTAGCTTCATACCTGCTTTCTCGATGGCCTTAGTTGCTGAGCGAGAATAAGGGGGGGGGGGGGGGGGACCAGAGCCAGAGCACACTGCTTCCCCTTCCTTTCCCCACCCGCACACATTCAGCCACGGTCATGTGACAATAACTGCTGCTCTATTGGTTCCCTCTGCACAGCCCAGATGGAGCATGCTGAGTCAACGTGTGGCTCCTTTCAGGAGCAGCAGTGCATGAGCCGGCCAGAGTGTGGCACAGCAGTACTGCTCCACAAAAGACCTGTCACTCTACAACCACATTAGACAACACTTAGGGTCTTCACTGACATTTTCGATCTCTCCTTGTCCCAGTCTGTAATTCCAAAAGGTTTCAAGCTGACCACCATCGTCCCTGTTCCGAAGAGCTCCAAGGTAACCTGCCTAAATAACTATTGCCCTGTAGCACTCACATTTGTAATTATGAAGTGCTTTGAAAGGCTGGTTATGACACACATCAAAACCATCATCCCAGACACCCTGGACCCACTCCAATTCGCTTACCACCCCAATAGATCCGCAATCTCAATTGCACTTCACACTGCCCTCTCCCACCTGGACAAGAGGGGAAATAACTATGTGAGAATGCTGTTCATAGACTACAGCTCAGCGTTCAACACCATAGTCCCCTCCAAGCTCATCATCAAGCTGTGGACCCTGGGACTGAATATCTCCCTCTGCAACTGGATCCTGGACTTCCTGACGGGCCGGCCCTAGGTGTTGAGGGTAGGCAACAACACCTCCGCCATGGTGACCCTCAACACGGGGGCACCTCAGGGGTGTGTGCTTTGTCCCCTCCTGCACTCCCTGTTCACCAACGACTGCGTGGCCACGCACGACTCCAACACCATCATTAAGTTTGCTGACGGTACAACGGTGGTAGGCCTGATCACCGATGGCGATGAGTCAGCCTACAGGGAGGAGGTCAGAGACCTGTCAGTGTGGTGCCAGGACAACAACCTCTCCCTCAATATCAGTAAGACCAAGGAGCTGATCGTGGAATATAGGAGAAAGAGGGGAGAGCACACCCCAATCCACACCGACAGGGCTGTAGTGGAGCGGGTCGAGAGCTTCAAGTTCCTTGGCGTCCACAACACTAAGGACTTAACATGGTCCACACACACCCAGACAGTCGTAAAGAGGGCACGACAGCGCATCTTCCCCTCAGAAGGCTGAAAAGATTTGGCATGGACCCTCGGATCCTCAAAAGTTAGACAGCTGCACCATCGAGAGCATCTTGTCTGGAGCATCACAGCTTGGTATGGCAAATGCACCGCCCTCGACCGCAAAGTGCTACAGAGGGTGGTGCGGACAGCCTAGTACATCACTGGGGCCGAGCTCCCTGCCATACAGAACCTCTACAGTGGGGGAAAAAAATTATTTAGTCAGCCACCAATTGTGCAAGTTCTCCCACTTAAAAAGATGAGGGAGGCCTGTAATTTTCATCATAGGTACACGTCAACTATGACAGACAAAATGAGAAAAAAAATCCTGAAAATCACATTGTAGGATTTTTAATGAATTTATTTGCAAATTATGGTGGGAAATAAGTATTTGGTCAATAACAAAAGTTTCTCAATACTTTGTTATATACCCTTTGTTGGCAATGACACAGGTCAAACGTTTTCTGGAAGTCTTCACAAGGTTTTCACACACTATTGCTGGTATTTTGGCCCATTCCTCCATGCAGATCTCCTCTAGAGCAATGATGTTTTGGGGCTGTCGCTGGGCAACACAGACTTTCAACTCCCTCCAAAGATTTTCTATGGGGTTGAGATCTGGAGACTGGCTAGGCCACTCCAGGACCTTGAAATGCTTCTTACGAAGCCACTCCTTCGTTGCCCGGGCGGTGTGTTTGGGATCATTGTCATGCTGAAAGACCCAGCCACGTTTCATCTTCAATGCCCTTGCTGATGGAAGGAGGTTTTCACTCAAAATCTCACGATACATGGCCCCATTCATTCTTTCCTTTACACGGATCAGTCATTCTGGTCCCTTTGCAGAAAAACAGCCCCAAAGCATGATGTTTCCACCCCCATGCTTCACAGTAGGTATGGTGTTCTTTGGATGCAACTCAGCATTCTTTGTCCTCCAAACACGACGAGTTGAGTCTTTACCAAAAAGTTATATTTTGGTTTCATCTGACCATATGACATTCTCCCAATCCTCTTCTGGATCATCCAAATGCACTCTAGCAAACTTCAGACGGGCCTGGACATGTACTGGCTTAAGCAGGGGGACACGTCTGGCACTGCAGGATTTGAGTCCCTGGCGGCGTAGTGTGTTACTGATGGTAGGCTTTGTTACTTTGGTCCCAGCTCTCTGCAGGTCATTCACTCTGCAGGTCCCCCCGTGTGGTTCTGGGATTTTTGCTCACCGTTCTTGTGATCATTTTGACCCCACGGGGTGAGATCTTGCGTGGAGCCCCAGATCGAGGGAGATTATCAGTGGTCTTGTATGTCTTCCATTTCCTAATAATTGCTCCCACAGTTGATTTCTTCAAACCAAGCTGCTTACCTATTCCAGATTCAGTCTTCCCAGCCTGGTGCAGGTCTACAATTTTGTTTCTAGTGTCCTTTGACAGCTCTTTGGTCTTGGCCATAGTGGAGTTTGGAGTATGACTGTTTGAGGTTGTGGACAGGTGTCTTTTATACTGATAACAAGTTCAAACAGGTGCCATTAATACAGGTAACGAGTGGAGGACAGAGGAGCCTCTTAAAGAAGAAGTTACAGGTCTGTGAGAGCCAGAAATCTTGCTTGTTTGTAGGTGACCAAATACTTATTTTCCACCATAATTTGCAAATAAATTCATAAAAAATCCTACAATGTGATTTTCTGGATTTTTTTCCCTCCATTTGTCTGTCAGAGTTGACGTGTACCTATACTTCATTTACTATTTTACACCTGGGGTTACTATACATAACTTTAACCAATTGTATAAGATATTCTCCTAATTTAAAATAGTCCAGGCATTTATCTATACATGCCAGTCATACTTTATCAAAGGCCTTCTAAATGTCAGCTATGAATACCAGGCCTTGTTTCACAGATTTTTCATAATGTTCTATTGTTTCCAGTACTTGTCTCATATTACACTGCTCAAAAAAATAAAGGGAACACTTAAATAACACATCCTAGATCTGAATGAATGAAATAATCTTGTTAAATACTTTTTTCTTTGCATAGTTGAATGTGCTGACAACAAAATCACACAAAAATTATCAATGGAAATCAAATGTATCAACCCATGGAGGTCTGGATTTGGAGACACCCTCAAAATTCAAGTGGAAAACCACACTACAGGCTGATCCAACTTTGATGTAATGTCCTTAAAACAAGTCAAAATGAGGCTCAGTAGTGTGTGTGGCCTCCACGTGCCTGTATGACCTCCCTACAACGCCTGGGCATGCTCCTGATGAGGTGGTGGATGGTCTCCTGAGGGATCTCCTCACAGACCTGGACTAAAGCATCCGCCAACTCCTGGACAGTCTGTGGTGCAACATGGAGTTGGTGGATGGAGCGAGACATGATGTCCCAGATGTGCTCAATTGGATTCAGGTCTGGGGAACGGGCGGTCCATAGCATCAATGCCTTCCTCTTGCAGGAACTGCTGACACACTCCAGCCACATGAGGTCTAGCATTGTCTTGCATTAGGAGGAACCCAGGGACAACCGCACCAGCATATGGTCTCACAAGGGGTCTGAGGATCTCATCTCGGTACCTAATGGCAGTCAGGCTACCTCTGGCGAGCACATGGAGGGCTGTGCGGCCCCCCAAAGAAAGGCCACCCCACACCATGACTGACCCACCGCCAAACCGGTCATGCTGGAGGATGTTGCAGGCAGCAGAACGTTCTCCACGGCGTCTCCAGACTCTGTCACGTCTGTCACGTGCTCAGTGTGAACCTGCTTTCATCTGTGAAGAGCACAGGGCGCCAGTGGCGAATTTGCCAATCTTGGTGTTCTCTGGCAAATGCCAAACGTCCTGCACGGTGTTGGGCTGTAAGCACAACCCCCACCTGTGGACTTCAGGCCCTCATACCACCCTCATGGAGTCTGTTTCTGACCGTTTGAGCAGACACATGCACATTTGTGGCCTGCTGGAGGTCATTTTGCAGGGCTCTGGCAGTGCTCCTCCTGCTCCTACAAAGGCGGAGGTAGCGGTCCTGCTGCTGGGTTGTTGCCCTCCTACGGCCTCCTCCACGTCTCCTGATGTACTGGCCTGTCTCCTAGTAGCACCTCCATGCTCTGGACACTATGCTGACAGACACAGCAAACCTTCTTGCCACAGCTCGCATTGATGTGCCATCCTGGATGAGCTGCACTACCTGAGCCATTTGTGTGGGTTGTAGACTCCGTCTCATGCTACCACTAGAGTGAAAGCACTGCCAGCATTAAAAAGTGACCAAAACATCAGCCAGGAAGCATAGGAACTGAGAAGTGGTCTGTGGTCACCACCTGCAGAATCACTTCTTTATTGGGGGTGTCTTGCTAATTGCCTATAATTTCCACCTGTTGTCTATTCCATTTGCACAACAGCATGTGAAATGTATTGTCAATCAGTGTTGCTTCCTAAGTGGACAGTTTGATTTCACAGAAGTGTGATTGACTTGGAGTTATATTGTGTTGTTTAAGTGTTCCCTTTATTTTTTTGAGCAGTGTATATCCAATGTATCATCCATGTAAAAAACCTGTCTGATTAGGATGAATAATATCCAACAATACCTTTTTAATTCTATGCGCTATGCATTTTTCTAGGATTTTGGCATCACAACACTTAAGTGTAAAGGGTGTCCAGTTTTTTAGGTAGACTGGATCTTTATATTTACCACTTGGGTCCTGTTTCAGTAATAGCGGAATCAGACTTTCTTGCTGAGTATCTGATAGTCTACCATTTTTATAGGAGTGATAAAACATGTTAATAACGGACTTTAGAGTACATAGACAAATATTTGATATACTTCAACTGGTATGCCATCAAGCCCTGGAGTTTTCCCGGACTTGAAGGCTTTAATTGCATCTAGAAGTTCCTCCTCTGTAATTAGGCCTTCACATTAGTCTTTCTGTAAAGCTGTTCATTTTACTCTAATAATAAACACAAATCCCTACAATTAACTTCAGTTAGTAGAGATGGAGGAGACTGAAATGAAAACTTATTCTTAAAGTACTTTGCTTCCTCTTTCAAAATATTGTTAGGTGAGTATTGGAGGACTGTCATTTGTAATACGTTTCTGTAAATTATTTTTGGTAGCATTTCTATGTTGAAGATTTGGGGCATTTTTCCCATATTCCATCCAGTTCGCTTGATTTTTCTTGAATAAGTTCCTCCATTTTCTTTTTCCCCTCTAACTTATTCTGTGCCTCTGTGTTACAGTTTTATTGCTATATATATATATATATACTGTATGTAATGTTAGTTCCTCTATTTCCCCGTTGGTTGTGACCCATCTTCCCAAGCACCTCTGTGCAGTCCGCTTGATTATTCTGTGCTGCCAGGGCCACAATAATATGCCCCCTCTCTGATTGTCAGAGTGTGACTCCCTCCCAATGGGTTACTGCTGTCATTGTTTTTTATTTGTTTTTTTCCTGTGAAGCACATTGCGTTGCATTCCATGTCTGAAATGTGCTGTATAAATAAAGCTTGATTTGATTTGAATGTGTTTTCATTTGTAAACCTTCATTATTACAAATGACAAATGGGCCTAAAAGTAGAGATGTACAATTATCCTGGCATAATCAACAAAACAAAACAAAAATGGTGAAAAACAACTTTATTAGGTTGTGCATTGTAAATTAACAAGGCACTATATTGCCTATGCATACACAATTATTTGGATATAGGACATAGTGAATTGTCTATGAAGACAGTTAAGTGAAAACTATAAATAAAAACATACAGGTTACATAAAACAGTGTATGCATCACAGGAGATTGGTGGCACCTTTAATTGGTGGAATGGTATCAAATACATGGTTTCCATGTGTTTGATGCCATTCCATTCGCTCCATTCCAGCTATTATTATGAGCCATCCTCCCCTCAGCAGCCTCCACTGGTATGCATTGAGTAGTGTAATATAATGAGTAAAAAATTTCAATGACATTCCATTATCAGCCACAAGAGGTAACTATAGAGTAAGATTTACAGTCTGGTGTTCAGTTTAACATCTGAAAACAACAGCATTACTAGGGGGTTGTCTTAAAGGTCTCGAACAGTCATTCTGATTCCATGTAAAATAGCCTTTTGGGTGACAAAAAAAAGAAATCACCCATAATATATTTTTTCCTCATTAAAAAGCTAAGTACTTTCTCTCATGTCAAACTACCATAAAGTTTGAAAAGACAGACTGAGTAGGCAGGGAGCTAGTAGGCTGAGTGGGCGGGGAGCTAGTAGGCTGAGTAGGCAGGGAGCTAGTAGGCTGAGTAGGCAGGGAGCTAGTAGGCTGAGTAGGCAGGGAGCTAGTAGGCTAAGTAGGCAGGGAGCTAGTAGGCTGAGTGGGCGGGGAGCGGGCGGGGAGCAGTGTTGCAGTGACATTATCTCAAGCAAATCTGCTGAAATATAAAGCAACTCAAAATAAATATTAACAGGATATCCCATGGCAAATGCTAGACTAGTAGAAATCTAAATCTACATAATATACCACAGTTGATTTTATAGCCAAATGAGGACAACAGCTCTGTGCACAGCTAGCTTGATTTTAAACACTATGCAATCTTTCTATAACAATTAAACAGCAAACTAAGAATCTCACACAGTTAAATCGTCAATCACAGTGTACACCTTATGAGAAGATTAATCAATTGTTTTCAGTCAAAAACAATGAACAAACCATAGCATTATTGAAGCACTCACTAAGCTAGGTTTCTTGCATCCAATATCTAAACATATCAGCAGCACAGGTTTCACAAGTCAACTTTCAAACATACAAAACTAAAATCCCTGTCCTTCATGTTTCAAACATCACAGATGCAATTTCAACATATATTCTAAACTAATTCTACATGACCCTGACTTAACTTTAAAAACTTGTCTCCAGCTATAAAAATTGTTTATGTAAAAACATATTACTCTCCTGAAAGTGCTAAAATTGTGTGAAAACAATCAGTAGTCATAAAAAGATGTTGCTTAACCAGGGCTGATGTACTTAAGGAGGGCTGCCTGGCAGCATGATCCAGTAGCAGGGAGTAGGGAGGTTGATTATCATGTTCAGTATAGCATTGCCAGCAGTCAGTCTCTCCTGTTTCATTATGTTCATGTGTTGCTGCTACAGCTCTCGACATAGCTGGGAGGAGCTTCTGTAACAGTTATCAGATAGAAAGAGACATTATTACACAATACCCTCCTAACTACATACTTTCCATCAGAAAGGACATACGTCATGGGCATGGCAACACTTACGAAACAAAGGCATAAATGTCTAAGGAATGGCAATTAGACTCTTACATTCATATTGGATATTAGCCAAGATTCTCAAGCCAGCCACAACTGATACAGTGAGATGACAATACAACACCAGAAACACCTAACCCAAATACTAAATATCAAATTGTGTATTAAGATAACTAAGTAAAAAGTAATTAGCATTAGCACTGCCAATCACTACAGGTTATTCAATAGGAGTGTAAGACTGACCATGTGGGAGTGTGGAGGTGCTGTACTCTGGAGGCAGTAGTGGGTAGAGGGTTGGCATGGAGTTGGCACAGCCCTCAGAGAAGGACGGGACGGTGAAGGTGAAGGCACCCAGCTGGGTGTGGCGCTTGGTAGGGATGGCCTTGATCGCCAGCCCCCTGGCCCCCATGGCCAGATTGTCCATCTCAGCTGGAGGGGCACTCGGGGAGGCAGCTGGAGGGGCGATAGGGAAAGAAGTGGAGACTCTGATCCTGGGAACAGGTTTTGGGGCTGGGTGGGAGGCAGGGCGAGGGGCTGGGGTTGGGGTAGTAGTAGGAGGTCCTTGGTTATAGGAGGATGGCTCAGAGCGGCTGCTGTTTTCTAGCTTGGTAGGCTTGGTGGAGGAGCAAAGAGGATCAGGGGTATGGGGAGGTGGTCTGGAGGGTTGTGCTGACGTGGTGTCCACTGAGATGTTTCCAATGTGGATGGGCAACAAAAACGAAGCCACAGGAGATTTCAGAGAGACCTAATGTACCAGGGAGTAAAGAGGAGAAGGATTCATCAAAACATGTGTTCTAAACTGAGGACCAAAGGGTTTGGCTGTAGAGGAAACGGTAGAGGAATGTTATTGTGAAAAGAGAAAAGTTGCTTACTTGAATAAAGTATTCTATGTTTATTAGGCCACAGCCAGCCAGAGATGACTGGGGCAGAGGAGGTACAATAATCTGCTCCTTCCACTCAACCTGTTTGTCAGCCTTCACCCCAGTACCTTCCACCTGTGCTAAAGTCCTCAAGTCAATCGTAGGCTTCTTTGTCTGGTAAGTCACTTTCTATTGGAGACGAGCACACAGAAATATAGTAGAAAATGTTTCAGTGGTTAAATAAATGCCTTTATCTCTCACCTACACATTGAGACAAGAATTACCACATTGCAGCTTTATAACACCATTGACTAAATCACACTTTTTTGTACAACACTCTTCTGTTGTACATCCATAGCCTTCCTTTATTTCAAGCACTGTAGACTCAGTACTCTGTACCTGCATGAGACAGGCCACCACAGTCCCTGTGGTTTTCCCAGACTGGTTGTCGATCTCTGTGGTCAGTTTGATGACCTGACCAGGGGTGTAGCCCTTCATGTCACTCTGGGCCTTCAGCACCACCGTTCCCGTCTTTACCCCCAGCAGGTAGGTGAACTTCTTAGTAATGGAAGATGAACTAGGTCCCTGGAAACAGGTGGGAAATATAAGGTTAAGACCAGATTCACCAAAGTCCTGTTTCTAGGACTTGGATATTTCTGATTAAGTGAAAATGTATCAAATCTGCCAGGGAAGCTCTCACATGGATGTCAGGCACTTCATTGAGGTTGAGGAGACTCAGCAGGTAGAAAGGCTTCTCTGTCTTATAGTCCTTAGAGAAGCGAGAAGTGTCGATGAAAGCCCTCACTCTGTACATAATTTTTCCATATTTCCCTTCAAAGGATGGGGGAAGAGAGGCTATATGGGAGGGAAGGAGTAAAGATATTTAGCACAACATGTCTTTTCACAGAGGCAAGAATACTGGCAACAGACTTGTCAAATGGCCTGTATCTATTGTAATTGTAAAATCTGTGTCATTTGCAACCAGCACCTGCTGTTCAATTTACACCTTCAAGACGTACATTTGAACGTCTTGAAGGTGTACCGTATTTTCCGCACTATAAGGCGCACCGGAGTATAAGCCGCAGCAGCTAAATTGAATGATATTGAATGATGTGTACATATATAAGCCGCACTGGACTATAAGCCGCAGGTGTTTTAATGTTTAATTACCATATGTAAGGGTTCGTGCACAGAGGGGATTGTCGGGAAAGAGACAAACTGTCTCGCTCTCGTAATGTCTGTCTGTCTTGCTCTCGTTCTGTCTCTCGTACCAATCTCGGTTCCACTTTTACTTTTGCGCGCTACCTGTCTCACTCTTTTCCGGCCTCCAGTGTCACAAAATTGGCTTGGTGTGAGGGGCAGGAACAGGCCGGACCGGGCTGACGAAGCGCACCATTGGCTTGGTGCGGGGAGCAGGAACAGGCCGGGACGGGCTGGCGACGCGCACCATTGCCTTGGTGCGAGGGGCAGGAACAGGCCGGGCCGGGCTGACGACGCGCACCATTGGCTTGGTGCGAGGGGCAGGAACAGGCCGGGCCGGGCTGGCGACGTGCATCACAGGCTTGGTGCGAGGGACAGGAACAGGCCGGACTGCACTGGGAACACACACCACTGGCCTTATACGGGGATCAGGAACGGGCCGGACCGGACTGGTAACACACTTCAGTACCTCTCGCCGTGCCTCTACACTTTCCTTCCCTCTAATGACCAATGGCCCCCGTAACCTGGTGGCCTTCTCTCCATGTCCACAAACTCGCCCTTTATCTGCCTCCAGCAGGATTGCTTAGGCTCCGGTGTGGAGCAGCTGACCGGTACCTGACCAGGCACCGGTGAAACGGGCACGGGCTGTGCCGGACTGACGACGCGCACCACAGGCTTGGTGCGGGGAGCAGGAACGGGCCGGACCGGGCTGACGATGCGCACCACAGGCTTGGTGCGGGGAGCAGGAATGGGCCAGACAGGGCTGACGACGCGCACCCCTGGCTTGGTGCGAGGAGCAGGAACGGGCCTGACCGGGCTGGCGACGCGCACCATTGGCTTGGTGCGGGGAGCAGGGACGGGCCGGACCGGGCTGACGATGCGCACCATTGGCTTGGTGCGGGGAGCAGGAACAGGCCGGGCCGGGCTGGCGACGCGCACCATAGGCTTGGTGCGGGGAGCAGGAACAGGCCGGGCCGGGCTGGCGACGCGCACCATTTGCTTGGTGCGAGGGGCAGGAACAGGCCGGACCGGGCTGGCCACGCGCACCATTGGCTTGGTGCGAGGGGCAGGAACAGGCCGGGCCGGGCTGACGATGCGCACCACAGGCTTGGTGCGGGGAGCAGGAATGGGCCAGACAGGGCTGACGACGCGCAACCCTGGCTTGGTGCGGGGAGCAGGAACGGGCCGGACCGGGCTGATGAAGCGCACCATTGGCTTGGTGCGAGGGGCAGGAACAGGCCGGGTCGGGCTGGCGACGCGCAACATTGGCTTGGTGCGAGGGGCAGGAACAGGCCGGGCCGGGCTGGCGACGCGCACCATTGGCTTGGTGCGAGGGGCAGGAACAGGCCGGGCCGGGCTGACGACGCACACCATTGGCTTGGTGCGAGGGGCAGGAACAGGCCGGGCCGGGCTGGCGATGCGCACCATTGGCTTGGTGCGAGGGGCAGGAACAGGCCGGGCCGGGCTGACGACGCGCACCATTGGCTTGGTGCGAGGGGCAGGAACAGGCCGGGCCGGGCTGGCGACGTGCATCACAGGCTTGGCGCGAGGGACAGGAACAGGCCGGACCGCACTGGGAACACACACCACTGGCCTTATACGGGGATCAGGAACGAGCCGGACCGGACTTCAGTACCTCTCGCCGTGCCTCTACACTTTCCTTCCCTCTAATGACCAATGGCCCCCGTAACCTGGTGGCCTTCTCTCCATGTCCACAAACTCGCCCTTTATCTGCCTCCAGCAGCCCCGTTGTTCATGCCATGTGCCCCCCCAAAAACATTTCTTGGGGGTGCCTCTCGCCTGTCCGACGACGACCCGGCTGGCGCCGCTTCTCCTCTCCTGCATGGGTCTCCCCTTTCATCGCCCTCCGGTAACGGACGGCCTCCTCCTCCGTAATCTGCCCCCAACCGAGGAGGACATCCACTAACGTTACCTCCTGCGTGTGCTCCTGGACACGCTGCTTGGTCCAGTATTGGTGGGATCTTCTGTCACGATCGTCAAAAGGAGCGGACCAAGGCGCAGCGTGATATGAGTACATACTTTATTATAATTCACCACACTAACAAAAACAACAAAACGATACGTGAAGTCCTCGGTAACATACACAAACCTACACGGAACAAGATCCCACAAAAGACAATGCACAATAGGCTGCCTAAGTATGGTTCCCAATCAGAGACAACAAGCAACAGCTGATTCACGTTGCCTCTGATTGAGAACCACCCCGGCCAACATAGAAACACATAAACTAGATCGTGAACATAGAACACAACACAGACACTACACACCCTGGCTCAACATAAAAGAGTCCCTAGAGCCAGGGCGTGACATCCAGCTTTTCCTGCTGGAGCCCGCTGCTTAAAGGTGGGGTACGCGGACCGGTCATAGAGCCCATAGAGTTAAAGTTGGTGGACTGTAACCTGTAAAATCCATAGATTTAGGAGGTCTTCTAGTGGCCGTTAGCTGTAAAAATCCATAGATTAGCCGCACCGTTATATAAGCCGCAGGGTCGAAAAATTGGAAAAAAGGCGCGGCTTATAGTCCGAAAATTACGGTAAATTGAACAGCAGGTGCAGGTTTCAAATGACACAGATTTTAAATCACAACGGACAGTTGATTAGGACCGGTTAGGTTGTTATGAAAGACTACTTTATCAGAGTGTGTCACGGATTCTGCCGAGGCTGCCCCTCCTCCTTGCTCGGGCAGGCGTCGGCGTTCGTCGTCACCGGAATACTAGCTACCGCCGATCTATGTTCTATGTTTCTATGTTCTACCTGTTGTTGTCTGATTGTCACACACCTGTTTCCCATCATGTAATTACTCCTTCCCTATTTAACCCGGTGGCTCCCAATGTGTTTTGTGCGTGTTTGTTTTTCGTTTCGTGTGTCGTTTGGTGAGCGTGTTTGTTCCTCTCTGTGTGGAGGTATTTTGTATTGGTTTCTTTACTTATTCAGTAAAGTACGTTTTCATAGAGTTCTGTGTCCTGCGCCTGACTTTGATTCCACCACATTACACTGACACTCGTGACAGAGTGAAAGGGAATCCCTTCTCAGCTGGAAAGGCAGTCTGTCTGTCTGATAGATCTTATCGATAAGTAATGGGCGGAGGGGTTATGATTACCTTCAAGCTGCATACTGGATCCTATTCCTACTAAACTGCTGAAGGAGCTGCTTCCTGTGCTTGGCCCTCCTATGTTGAACATAATAAACAGCTCTCTATCCACCGGATGTGTACCAAACTCACTAAAAGTGGCAGTGATAAAGCCTCTCTTGAAAAAGCCAAACCTTGACCCGGAAAATATAAAAAACTATCGGCCTATATCGAATCTTCCATTCCTCTCAAAAATTTTAGAAAAAGCTGTTGCGCAGCAACTCACTGCCTTTCTGAAGACAAACAATGTATACGAAATGCTTCAGTCTGGTTTTAGACCCCATCATAGCACTGAGACTGCACTTGTGAAGGTGGTAAATGACCTTTTAATGGCGTCAGACCGAGGCTCTGCATCTGTCCTCGTGCTACTAGACCTTAGTGCTGCCTTTGACACCATCGATCACCACATTCTTTTGGAGAGACTGGAAACCCAAATTGGTCTACACGGACAAGTTCTGGACCTGGTTTAGATCTTACCTGTCGGAAAGATATCAGTTTGTCTCTGTGAATGGTCTGTCCTCCGACAAATCAACTGTACATTTCGGTGTTCCTCAAGGTTCCGTTTTAGGACCACTATTGTTTTCACTATATATTTTACCTCTTGGGGATGTTATTCGAAAACATAATGTTAACTTTCACTGCTATGCGGATGACACACAGCTGTACATTTCAATGAAACATGGTGAAGCCCCAAAATTGCCCTCGCTAGAAGCCTGTGTTTCAGACATAAGGAAGTGGATGGCTGAAAACTTTCTACTTTTAAACTCGGACAAAACAGAGATGCTTGTTCTAGGTCCCAAGAAACAAAGAGATCTTCTGTTAAATCTGACAATTCATCTTGATGGTTGTAAAGTCGTCTCAAATAAAACTGTGAAGGACCTCGGCGTTACTCTTGACCCTGATCTCTCTTTTGACGAACATATCAAGACTGTTTCAAGGACAGCTTTTTTCCATCTACGTAACATTGCAAAAATCAGAAATTTTCTGTCCAAAAATGATGCAGAAAAATTAATCCATGCATTTGTTACTTCTAGGTTAGACTACTGCAATGCTCTACTTTCCGGCTACCCGGATAAAGCACTAAATAAACTTCAGTTAGTGCTAAATACGGCTGCTAGAATCCTGACTAGAACCAAGAAATTTGATCATATTACTCCAGTGCTAGCTTCCCTACACTGGCTTCCTGTTAAGGCAAGGGCTGATTTCAAGGTTTTACTGTTAACCTATAAAGCTTTACATGGGCTTGCTCCTACCTATCTTTCTGAGTTGGTCCTGCCGTACATACCAATACGTACGCTACGGTCACAAGACGCAGGCCTCCTAATTGTCCCTAGAATTTCTAAGCAAACAGCGGGAGGCAGGGCTTTCTCCTATAGATCTCCATTTTTATGGAACAGTCTGCCTACCCATGTGAGAGACGCAGACTCGGTCTCAACCTTTAAGTCTTTACTGAAGACTTATCTCTTCAGTAGGTCATATGATTGAGTGTAGTCTGGCCCAGGAGTGTGAAGGTGAACGGAAAGGCTCTGGAGCAACGAACAGCCCTTGCTGTCTCTGCCAGGCCGGTTCCCCTCTCTCCACTGGGGTTCTCTGCCTCTAACCCTGTTACAGGGGCTGAGTCACTGGCTTGCTGGTGCTCTTTCATGCCGTCCCTAGGAGGGGTGCGTCACTTGAGTGGGTTGAGTTACTGACGTGATCTTCCTGTCTGGGTTGGCGCCCCCCCTTGGTTTGTGCTGTGGTGGAGACCTCTGTGGGCTATACTCGGCCTTGTCTCAGGATTGTAAGTTGGTGGTTGAGGATATCCCTCTAGTGGTGCGGGGGCTGTGCTTTGGCAGAGTGGGTGGGGTTATATCCTTCCTGTTTGGCCCTGTCCGGGGGTTTCTTCGGATGGGGCCACAGTGTCTCCGGACCGCTCCTGTCTCAGCCTCCAGTATTTATGCTGCAGTAGTTTATGTGTCGGGGGGCTGGGGTTAGTTGGTTATACCTGGAGTACTTCTCCTGTCTTATCCAGTGTCCTGTGTGAATTTAAGTATGCTCTCTCTAATTCTCTCGTTCTCTCTTTCTCTCTGAGAACCTGAGCCCTAGGACCATACGTCAGGACTACCGGGCATGCTGACACCTTGCTGTCCCCAGTCCGCCTGGCCTTGCTGCTATTCCAGTTTCAACTGTTCTGCCTGCGGTTATGGAACCCCTACCTGTCCCAGACCTGCTGTTTTCAACTCTTAATGATCGGCTATGAAAAGCCAACTGAGATTTATTCCTGATTATTATTTGACCATGCTTGTCACTTATGAACATTTTTGAACATCTTGGCATGGTTCTGTTATAACCTCCACCCGGCACAGCCAGAAGAGGACTGGCCACCCCTCATAGCCTGGTTCCTCTCTAGGTTTCTTCCTAGGTTTTGGCCTTTCTAGTGAGTTTTTCCTAGCCACCGTGCTTCTACACCTGCATTACTAGCTGTTTGGGGTTTTAGGCTGGGTTTCTGTACAGCACTTCGAGATATTAGCTGATGTACGAAGGGCTATATAAAATATAATTGATTGATTGATGATGTTATCATTGGGCTCCCTCCCTGAGAGCTAAAGCATAGATAAGGCAGAACATGTGATACTGTTTTAAGAATGATCTATCACACTCATTTCCTTAGCATGCAAAGGTTTGAAACATAAAGACAAGAAGGCCATGACAGATTGTTAGCAGAAACTACCACGAGACAAAACACAACAACAAGGGAGAAAGCAACTGTCATCCCAGTACAGGAGATAGTATGACAACAGATGGCTTTGCACACCTCAGGGCATCTATGCTCTCAGTCCCTACCACACTAGTCAACAATTGGAGAAGAGGAGGCTAATGGGTACAAGGGTAACTATAAGCTAATAATGAATGATTTATAAACAATTTATAACCCCTTTATAAAGTATACCTCAATGTTAAGTGTTACCTCAATAACGCTTACAAACTGTTCATGGGCACGAGTAAATTACCTTACAATTACTCTACTGTGTGCTCATTTGTAGCACCATTTCCATTCAAGACACATGACATTGGTCCCGATGGTAATCCTCATAATCATTGATGTTAAGCCACAGGAAGCGGTACTGTACTACATTTCTCACATTACTTCTGCTTATAGTGAATGAGCTATGACAGAACTAAAGTAAATACTTACATGCCCCGACATGTCTGATTATAAAATGTAAGGAAAACCCATATCATTTTACATTTTAGTCATTTAGCAGACGCTCTTATCCAGAGCGACTTACAGGAGCAATTAGGGTTAAGTGCCTTGCTTAAGGGCACATCGACAGATTTTTCACCTAGTCGGCTCGGGGATTAGAACCAGCGACCTTTCGGTTACTGGCACAACGCTCTTACCCACTAAGCTACCTGCCTGCCATATGTTTAAAGGAATGTGGTGCAACAGGTGTGCAAAGCTCCATCACTCAGTGGCCTTACCTGGAATGAGAAACTTGAATGGAAAACTGTGATCTCCCCATTTCAGGGTTCCTGGGACACCGGAAAAAATATAAACAAACATCAGATCAGCTGGCCGGAAAACATTCTGTCCATTAACAATTGTTCCTCTTCTAGGAATCACATTTCACTTTCAGGGTAGAAGGGGAACCTCTGAGAATAGGGATTAAATGTTTGTTTACCTTTTCCTTCTTACATACAGTACCAGTCAAAGGTTTGGACACACCTACTCAAACAAATCAAAATACATTTTATATATTTGAGATTCTTCAAAGGTAGCCACCCTTTGCCTTTATGACAGCTTTGCACATTCCTGGCATTCTCTCAACCAGCTTCATGAGGTAGTCACCTGGAATACATTTCAATTAACAGGTGTGCCTTGTTAAAAGTTAATTTGTGGAATTTCTTTCCTTCTTAATGCGTTTGAGCCAATCAGTTGTGTTGTGACAAGGTAGGGCTCGTATACAGAAGATAGCCTATTTGGTAAAAGACCAAGTTCATATTATGGCAAGAACAGCTCAAATAAGCAAAGAGAAACGACAGTCCATCATTACTTTAAGACATGAAGGTCAGTCAATACGGAAAATTTCAAGAACTTTGAATATTTCTTCAAGTGCAGTCGCAAACACCATCAAGCGCTATGATGAAACTGGCTCTCATGAGGACCGCCACAGGAAAGGAAGACACAGAGTTACCTCTGCTGCAGAGGATAAGTTCATTAAAGTTACCAGCCTCAGAAATTGCAGCCCAAATAAATGCTTCATAGAGTTCAAGTAACAGACATCTCAACATCAACTGTTCAGAGGAGATTGTGTGAATCAGGCCTTCATGGTCGAATTGCTGCAAAGAAACCACTACTAAAGGACACCAATAATATGAAGAGACTTGCTTGGGCCAAGAAACACGAGCAATGGACAATAGACCGGTGGAAATCTGTCCTTTGGTCTGGTGAGTCCAAATGTTAGATTTTTGGTTCCAACCGCCGTGTCTTTGTGAGATGCAGAGTAGGTGAACGGATGATCTCCACATGTGTGCTTCCCACCGTGAAGCATGGAGGAGGAGGTGTGATGGTGTGGGAGTGCTTCCCATCTGGTTTGCGCTTATTGGGAATATCATTTGTTTTTCAACAGGACAATGACCCAACACACCTACAGGCTGTGTAAGGGCTATTTGACCAAGAAGGACAGTGATGGAGTGCTGCATCAGATGACCTGGCCTCCACAAACACCCGACCTCAACCCAATTGAGATAGTTTGGGATGATTTGGACTGCAAAGTGAAGGAAAAGCAGCCAACAAGTGCTCTGCATATGTGGGAACTCCTTCAAGACTGTTGGAAAAGCATTCCAGGTGAAGCTAGTTGAGAGAATGCCACGAGTGTGCAAAGCTGTCATCAAGGCAAAGGGTGGCTACTTTGAAGAATTTGTTTAACACATTTTTGGTTACTACATGATTCCATATGTGTTATTTCATCGTTTGGATTTCTTCACTATTATTCTATAATGTAGAAACTTTTGACTGGTACTGTATGTACAGTGAGGGAAAAAAGTATTTGATCCCCTGCTGATTTTGTACGTTTGCCCACTGACAAAGAAATGATCAGTCTATAATTTTAATGGTAGGTTTATTTGAACAGTAAGAGACAGAATAACAACAACAAAATCCAGAAAAACGCATGTCAAAAATGTTATAAATTGATTTGCATGTTAATGAGGGAAATAAGTATTTGACCCCCTCTCAATCAGAAAGATTTCTGGCTCCCAGGTGTCTTTTATACAGGTAACGAGCTGAGATTAGGAGCATGCTCTTAAAGGGAGTGCTCCTTATCTCAGTTTGTTACCTGTATAAAAGACACCTGTCCACAGAAGCAATCAATCAGATTCCATACTCTCCACCATGGCCAAGACCAAAGAGCTCTCCAAGGATGTCAGGGACAAGATTGTAGACCTACACAAGGCTGGAATGGGCTACAAGACCATTGCCAAGCAGCTTGGTGAGAAGGTGACAACAGTTGGTGCGATTATTCGCAAATGGAAGAAACACAAAATAACTGTAAATCTCCCTCGGCCTTGGGCTCCATGCAAGATCTCACCTCGTGGAGTTGCAATGATCATGAGAACGGTGAGGAATCAGCCCAGAACTACACGGGAGGATCTTGTCAATGATCTCAAGGCAGCTGGGACCATAGTCACCAAGAAAACAATTGGTAACACACTACGCCGTGAAGGACTGAAATCCTGCAGCGCCCGCAAGGTCCCCCTTCTCAAGAAAGCACATATACATGCCTGTCTGAAGTTTGCCAATGAACATCTGAATGATTCAGAGGAGAACTGGGTGAAAGTGTTGTGGTCAGATGAGACCAAAATGGAGCTCTTTGGCATCAACTCAACTCGCCGTGTTTGGAGGAGGAGGAATGCTGCCTATGACCCCAAGAACACCATCCCCACCGTCAAACATGGAGGTGGAAACATTATGCTTTGGGGGTGTTTTTCTTCTAAGGGGACAGGACAACTTCAACGCATCAAAGGGACGATGGACGGGGCCATGTACCGTCAAATCTTGGTTGAGAACCTCCTTCCCTCAGCCAGGGCATTGAAAATGGGTCGTGGATGGGTATTCTAGCATGACAATGACCCAAAAAAACACGGCCAAGGCAACAAAGGAGTGGCTCAAGAAGAAGCACATTAAGGTCCTGGAGTGGCCTAGCCAGTCTCCAGACCTTAATCCCATAGAAAATCTGTGGAGGGAGCTGAAGGTTTGAGTTGCCCAACATCAGCCTCGAAACCTTAATGACTTGGAGAAGATCTGCAAAGAGGAGTGGAACAAAATCCCTCCTGAGATGTGTGCAAACCTGGTGGCCAACTACAAGAAACGTCTGACCTCTGTGATTGCCAACAAGGGTTTTGCCACCAAGTACTAAGTCATGTTTTGCAGAGGGGTCAAATACTTATTTCCCTCATTAAAATGCAAATCAATTTATAACATTTTTGACATGCGTTTTTCTGGATTTTTTTGTTGTTATTCTGTCTCTCACTGTTCAAATAAACCTACCATTAAAATGATAGACTGATCATTTCTTTGTCAGTGGGCAAACGTACAAAATCAGCAGGGGATCAAATACTTTTTTCCCCTCACTGTAGGTGATGAAGGAAATATCCATTACAAAACAATGATTTACTGGAAGGTGTGTTTGTTTCATTTAAAAGGAACCAGTTACGCCATAACTAAAGTGTCTAAGTCAGAAGGGGAAAAGTGAGGTGAATGTGGACTGAAGCTCCAAAGGTGAGGAGGAAGCAGGTAAAGACCCAGTTGACAGTACCTTTATCTGCCACAGAGAGAGTGCTGCTGAAGTACTGCTCCTCCACTGTCCAGGCTGTGTCATTGATCTTGCTGGTGACACCACATAAGCCTTGGCAATTGACCTTGATATCTGCAGGGATAACATATAGTAAAACACATGAACATAAGAGAACTTGAGGTCCTCAGACTTCAAAACAATAGGCAGATACAAACAGAAGCTGAGCATAGTATTGTATTCTTCATAGGCCTTTTAGGATAGTTTACATTCTCAGGGATATTATGTTATTTTCTTGCAAACAAAGCCCCAAAGCACCTTTTGTGGACACCTATTTTAACACATCACACAGAATATTTATATAAAAAACAGAACTAAAAAGCAAAATCTAATTCTGAGGAATCCAAACACAAAGACCAGTAAAAGAAAGACATACAGGTAACTGCCAAAATAAAGGAAACACCAAATGAAAGTGTCTTAATAGAGCATTGTGCCGCCAGAACAGCTTCAATGAGCCTTGGCATATCTGTTGACTGAGACACACACATCCTTTAAAACCCCCTATGATCCTTTGAAACCCTTCTTTAAAAAGTAATCTCTTCTTCTAGCCATAGTAGCCAAAATAAATGGGCAACTGAACATTTCTATACATGACCCTAAGCATGATGGGATGTTAATTGCTTAATTAACTCAGGAACACCACCTGTGGAAGCATGTGCTTTCAATATACTTTGTATCCCTCATTTACTCAAGTGTTTCCTTTATTTTGGCAGTTAGCTGTAGTTTTCCTGGTGTGATGTAATGCGGCACCCTTTATCAGTTTGCTTTCCTCAGTGAGTCACATGCCTGGCAGCAAAACTCTCCAAAACACACTGAAGCCCATGAGCACAGAAATTAAAGGGTACTAAATGGGAGTCCTAGTGGGGGATTAGAAACAGCTCTTGGCTAGCAGTGTGCATGGTTATGACCCAGATTAATTAATAGTTCAATCAATCATAATTCTGGTTGGAGCCCAGTAAGACCTTGACAGTCCTGGAGGAGGATGGCCAAGTAAAAACTTATCAACAAACCCTGTAGAAGTATGAAGTGCAGTACTCTGATTGATATTCAGTTAAATATTCTGGCTACATCATACAAGAAGTTTAATTCTAACTTCCCGTTATTACTTTTTAAGAACATGAGAGTGGGTCCACTTTACAGTCTAGAAATTACATTTACATTTTAGTCATTTAGCAGACGCTCTTATCCAGAGCGACTTACAGTTAGTGAGTGCATACATTTTTCATACTTGTTTCATTTTTCATAGAAATGTGCTCTTGTAGGGAGTACCACCTCTTGTGAAAAGTGTTGGTCCCAGAATTTTTTTTTCCATACGCACAAAAAGCTTATTTCTCTCAAATTTTGTTCACAAATTTGTTTACATCCCTGTTAGTGAGCATTTCTGCTTTGCCAAGATAATCCATCCACCTGACAGGTGTGGCATATCAAGAAGCTGATTAAACAGTATGATCATTACACAGGTGCACTTTGTGCTGGGGACTATAAAAGGCCACTCTAAAATGTGCAGTTTTGTCACACAACACAATGCCACAGATGTCTCAATTAAGGGAATGTGCAATTGGCATACTGACTGCAGGAATGTCCACCAGAGCTGTTGCCAGAGAATTGAATGTTAATTTCTCTACCATAATCCGCCTCCAACGTCATTTTAGAGAATTTGGCAGTACGTCCAACCGGCCTCACAACCGTGCCAGCCCAGGACCTCCACATCCGGCTTCTTCACCTGCGGGATCGTCTGAGACCAGCCACCCGGACAGCTGATGAAACTGGTTTTGCACAACTGAAGAACTTCAGACACCGTCTCGGGGAAACTCATCTGCGTGCTCGTCGTCCTCACCAGGGTCTTGACTTCAGTGAGCAAATGCTCACCTTTGATAGTCATTGGCATGATGGAGATGTGTGCTCTTCACGGATGAATCCCGGTTTCAATTGTACCGGGCAGATGGCAGACAGCGTGTATGGCGTCGTGTGGGTGAGCGGTTTGCTGATGTCACTGTTGTGAACAGAGTGTCCCATGGTGGCGGTGGGGTTATGGTATGAGCAGGCATATGCTAAGGACAACGAACACAATTGCATTTTATCGATGGCTATTTGAATGCACAGAGATACCGTGATGAGATCCTGAGGCCCATTGTCGTCCCATTCATCCACCAACCTTCACCTCATGTTTCAGCATGATAATGCATGGCCCCATGTCGCAAGGATCTGTACACAATTCCTGGAAGCTGAAAATGTCCCGGTTCTTCCATGGCCTGCATACTCACAAGACATGTCACCCATTGAGCACGTTTGGAATGCTCTGGATCGACGTGTACGACAGTGTGTTCCAGTTCCCGTCAATATCCAGAAACTTTGCATCGTCATTGAAGACGAGTTGGACAACATTCCACAGGCAACAATTAACAGCCTGATCAACAAGGAGATGTGTCACGCTGCATGAGGCAAATGGTGGTTACACCAGATACTGACTGGTTTTCTGATCCACGCCCCAACTTTTTTTTTTAAGGTATCTGTGACCAACAGATGCATATCTGTATTCCCAGTCATGTGAAAGCTATAGATTAAGGCCCAATTGACTGATTTCCTTATATGAACTCTAACTCAGTAAAATCTCAGAAATTGTTGCGTTTATATTTTTGTTCAGTGTAATTTGAAGTCCTCACAACTCATGGGTCAGATAACCAATACTATAGTAACTTGGGAGGGTTATCAAGTTCATTAAACATCAGTTATCAACAACAGTGCAGCCAGTGACTCCGCTCAGTATCTAAATGCAATGACTCAAGCTGCTACAGCCTGACCTGTTTTTCCTGACCTGTAATGTAAACAAACCAGAGGTCCAACACAAGACATGGAGCAGAAACTTCCATGACACAAAACGCCTTCAGTGTAATGAGGGCAATTTAGTTTCCATGTTGGCTAAGGTTCAGAGAAAATATATATTCAACTATTTGTTTTACCGTGGACTTAAAAAAACATCAAAAAATGTTTTTTCTAACTCTATGCAATGTCTCAAAACATGTTTGATCACCCACAGTACAATTTTGTTGAAAATATGAGTGAATGAGTGCGTTTGTTCTACCAACAACAAGTGATAGGGATGAGGGTGACCACAACCTGTCAATAGCAGCAGGTAGCTTAGTGGTTAAGAGCTTTGTGCCAGTAACCAAAAGGTCACTGGTTCTAATCCCCGAGCCGATGTGCCCTTGAGCAAGGCACTTAACCCTAATTGCTCCTGTAAGTCGCTCTGGATAAGAGCGTCTGCTGAATGACCAAAAAAATTAAATAACTAGCCATTTGAGATCCTTGACATAAGGCACACAGTTCCATTGAAAAATGCAATGTTCTATCCTACTACATTTCTGGCATAAAACAACTTGAGTTTATGCTTGCCTTATTGCCATTTCATCCTTGGGTTAAAATGTTAATGGCAAACAAATCTTGTTTTTTGTTAATTTTTCCTGTTAAGATATGGTAAACAACTAATTCCATTCATCAACAGTCCCAAAAAATTACGGTCAAATGTGTCCTCTCTGACAGTACCTTTAAATGAGACTGATCACCTTGTCCCCCCCAACGCAGCTATAGAAAGCGTATGTTCGAGTGATCGCATACAAACAGTATTTATTCAATTCAGTTCAACCCAACACCTCAAATATTTACAGTTGTAGGCTACACATTCATCACCAGAAACGAATAAATACAAAACATTCAATGTAGGCTGCTGTAAATAAAATGCGCGTTACAAATCACACCCTTGTGTTTGTTTCAGTGAACACTAATTTACTTTCTTGTCAGTCCGAGGAGACGACGAAGGTTTGAAAATTGCCAAAGTAAGACTGGAAATAGTGACGTTTTCAGAACGTTACCTTTAAATAGTAGAGCATGGGCGGTTGTGATTTTCAGGGTGCCTGAAACGGACTCTCCGGGACTATAAACAACTTTATTGTCCTTAAAAGTGATGACAAATTCTTGCAGTTGTCCCATGTTTCCTATCATGAGCGGGTGGCACCGAAGGGTCTATCACCTGTGCTCTGTGGAAGCGTTTTGTTCCCTTCCATCCAGCCTCTCAACGTGACGTCACTAACATGAAACTCGAGACGTGCCTCTAAAATACAAATCAGGGTGTCTGATATGCCTACTGTATGGAAAGTTAACACTCTCACCTTCAGTGTTTGTGAAATGACAACTATTTGTACATTTGTAAGGGCTTTTAAAAATATATTTAAAAATAAAAGCAAAAGATCACAGAAACAGTAATTATATTACAAAATATGATAATTACAATTCATAAAAATAAAATACAATAAAACCCAAAAAACTATTAGTTTGGCAGTTAAAAGTTGACCCATTATGACCCACATGCAGATAATTATCAATGAGACATGAATATGGAAGTGAGAGAAAGCTGCATACTGTACATAGAATGAGATACATTCAATGATATTGCTGGTATATTGATAACCTTACGGTCTCTGACTGTGACTCACACAAAGCTCTGTTGTACTTCTTTAAGTGTCCATCCACCCTGAAAGTCAGTGACTGCTGTTGGCTGGGATGGATGGTTATGTTTGAGATGGTGGTCAGGGACTGGAGGGTCATGGAGGATGACACTGTGCTGGTCATCTTGAGAAGAAATTGATGTAGAGTGGAAATAGACTTAGCTTAAAACACCTTTGAATGAAAATATATGAAGAGTAATACTACTTAGGATGGAAATTATCACATTGATGTTTCTCATTTTCATGTATTCAAAAAAATGGCAGAATGTATTAAGTACTACTTAAGTAGTTTTGGGGGGTATCTGTACTTGACTATGCATATGTTTGATTACTTTGACTTTTACTTCACTAAAATAATGTACTTTTTACTCCATACATTTTCCCTGACACCCAAAAGTACTCATTACACTTTGAATGCTTAGCAGGACAGGAAAATTGTCCAATTCACACACTTGTCAAGAGAACATCCCTGGTCATCCCTACTGCCTCTGATCTAGAGGACTCACTAAACAAAAATGCTTCGTTTGTAAATTATGTCTGAGTGTTGGCATGTGCCCTTGGCTATCCGTAAATTGATTTGATCGTGCCTTCTGGTTTGCTTAATATAAGGTATTCGAAATGATTTATACTTTTACTTTTGATACTTAAATACAGTGGGGAAAAAAAGTATTTAGTCAGCCACCAATTGTGCAAGTTCTCCCACTTAAAAAGATGAGAGGCCTGTAATTTTCATCATAGGTACACGTCAACTATGACAGACAAATTGAGAATTTGTCCAGAAAATCACATTGTAGGATTTTTAATGAATTTATTTGCAAATTATGGTGGAAAATAAGTATTTGGTCAATAACAAAAGTTTCTCAATACTTTGTTATATACCCTTTGTTGGCAATGACACAGGTCAAACGTTTTCTGTAAGTCTTCACAAGGTTTTCACACACTTTTACTGGTATTTTGGCCCATTCCTCCATGCAGATCTCCTCTAGAGCAGTGATGTTTTGGGGCTGTCGCTGGGCAACACAGACTTTCAACTCCCTCCAAAGATTTTCTATGGGGTTGAGATCTGGAGACTGGCTAGGCCACTCCAGGACCTTGAAATGCTTCTTACGAAGCCACTCCTTCGTTGCCCGGGCGGTGTGTTTGGGATCATTGTCATGCTGAAAGTCCCAGCCACGTTTCATCTTCAATGCCCTTGCTGATGGAAGGAGGTTTTCACTCAAAATCTCACGATACATGGCCCCATTCATTCTTTCCTTTACACGGATCAGTCGTCCTGGTCCCTTTGCAGAAAAACAGCCCCAAAGCATGATGTTTCCACCCCCATGCTTCACAGTAGGTATGGTGTTCTTTGGATGCAACTCAGCATTCTTTGTTCCATTTTGGTTTCATCTGACCATATGACATTCTCCCAATCCTCTTCTGGATCATCCAAATGCACTCTAGCAAACTTCAGACAGGCCTGGACATGTACTGGCTTAAGCAGGGGGACACGTCTGGCACTGCAGGATTTGAGTCCCTGGCGGCGTAGTGTGTTACTGATGGTAGGCTTTGTTACTTTGGTCCCAGCTCTCTGCAGGTCATTCACTAGGTCCCCCTGTGTGGTTCTGGGATTTTTGCTCACCGTTCTTGTGATCATTTTGACCCCACGGGGTGAGATCTTGCGTGGAGCCCCAGATCGAGGGAGATTTTCAGTGGTCTTGCATGTCTTCCATTTCCTAATAATTGCTCCCACAGTTGATTTCTTCAAACCAAGCTGCTTACCTATTGCAGATTCAGTCTTCCCAGCCTGGTGCAGGTCTACAATTTTGTTTCTGGTGTCCTTTGACAGCTCTTTGGTCTTGGCCATAGTGGAGTTTGGAGTGTGACTGTTTGAGGTTGTGGACAGGTGTCTTTTATACTGATAACAAGTTCAAACAGGTGCCATTAATACAGGTAACGAGTGGAGGACAGAGGAGCCTCTTAAAGAAGAAGTTACAGGCCTGTGAGAGCCAGAAATCTTGCTTGTTTGTAGGTGACCAAATACTTATTTTCCACCATAATTTGCATATACATTCATAAAAAATCCTACAATGTGATTTTCTGGATTTATTTTCTCAATTTGTCTGTCATAGTTGACGTGTACCTATGATGAAAATTACAGGCCTCTCTCATCTTTTTAAGTGGGAGAACTTGCACAATTGGTGGCTGACTAAATACTTTTTTTCCCCACTGTATATTTTAGCAATTACATTTACTTATGATACTTAAGTATATTTCAAACCAAATACTTTGATACTTTTACTCAAGTAGTATTTTACTGGGTGACTTTAAATTTTACTTGAGTCATTTTCTATTAAGGTATCTTTACTTTTACTCAAGTATGACAGTTTGGGTACTTTTTCCACCACTGCTGGATTTAAACTATAACATCCAAAAGATGAGGAAAGGTAGCCTAAAATCAAACATTTACAAACCATGATTTTAATATCTAGACTGTAACTCTGAATTTCTAACTGTATGTTGTTGACAGTAAGAAATCATGTCGCTCTCTACCCTCCCTATGATCATGCCAAAGACAGTGTTATTATAAGCCCATAAGAAGAGAGAATTTACCAAGACTTTTAAAGCATTACAGGAGTAAAATGTAATTTAAAATGAAGGCTGTGAAAAAGGTATTCCTTTTAAAATGCATACGATAAACACTTTAGTTTTAAACAGAGCATGTTCATAGGTTTTGCTTTACAATTACAATACGCCATATGACAGTACAGTTGAAGTCAGAAGTTTACATACACCTTAGCCAAATACATTTAAACTCTGTTTTTCACAATTCCTGACATTTAATCCTAGTAAAAATACCCTGTCTTAGGTCAGTTAGGATCACCACTTTGTTTTAAGAATGTGAAATGTCAGAATAATAGTAGAGAGAATTATTTATTTCAGCTTTTATTTATTTCATCACATTCCCAGTGGGTCAGAAGTTTACATACACTCAATTCGTATTTGGTAGCATTGCCTTTAAATTGTTCAACTTGGGTCAAATGTTTTGGGTAGCCTTCCACAAGCTTCCCACAATAAGTTGGGTGAATTTTGGCCCATTCCTCCTGACAGAGCTGGTGTAACTGAGTCAGGTTTGTAGGCCTTCTTGCTCGCACACACTTTTTCAGTTCTGCCCTCAAATGTTCTATAGGATTGAGGTCAGGGCTTTGTGATGGCCACTCCAATACCTTGACTTTGTTGTCCTTAAGCCATTTTTCCACAACTTTGGATGTGTGCTTGGGGTCATTGTCCATTTGGAAGACCCATTTGCGACCAAGCTTCAACTTCCTGACTGATGTCTTGAGATGTTGCTTCAATATATCTACATAATTTTCCTTCCTCATGATGTCATGTTTTGCAGAGGGGTCAAATACTTATTTCCCTCATTAAACTGCAAATCAATTTATAACATTGTTGACATCAAATCAAATCAAATTTTATTGGTCACATGCGCCGAATACAACAGGTGCAAACATCACAGTGAAATGCTTACTTACAGCCCTTAACCAACATGCGTTTTTCTGGATTTTTTTGTTGTTATTCTGTCTCTCACTGTTCAAATAAACCTACCATTAAAATTATAGACTGATCATTTCTTTGTCAGTGGGCAAACTTACAAAATCAGCAGGGGATCAAATACTTTTTTCCCTCACTGTAGATAATAAAACTATACTTTCTCAGGATTATGAAGACACTGAGCAAATGTGATGAGATAACTATGAGGTTCCTTATTCAAGACGTGTTCGAATGCTGGGTGTGGATGTTTTCCTTGTGTTCTAATACAATGGAGGGAGAATCAATAGCAGCATTGTAGCTGATCTGGTCATTTGTGGCAGGGTCTTCTTTGAACTTCACATCAAATTTTCTGAGAGACCCATGAATAGCCTTAACAAAATTGTGTGATCCAAAACAGTAAAGCAATGGGTCCAGACAGCAGTTTGCTCCAGCCAAAATCCAGGAAAAATAGTATGCGGTCTCCACCTGCAGAAGGATGCATTGTTCTGGAAAGTACTTCTTTAACACAACAGCCACAGTGCGTATCACGTTCAAAGGCATGAAGCACAGTCCAAATATCACCAGACACATGGCCACCATTTTACGGGACTTGGCCTTAATACCACGGCCCTTAAACGTGTTGATATTGATGCGAGACACTGATCTTGCTATCTGAACATAGCAGGTTACTGCCACTGAGAAAGGCATTAGGAACCCAAGGATGAGCAAAACGAAGTTGATGGCAAAGTAGGTGTCAATGTAATCTCGCTGATGAATGCTTAGACATTGTGTGCGGTTTCCCACTTGACTTGTGTTTAAGAAGGAGAAACAGGCAATCCCCTTAGCCAGCAAAACCAGCCAGACTCCAGCACACAGCTTCTGAACAAACGCCTTTCGTTTCATGCGGGAGCCTTGTTTAAACTGGACAACTGCCATGTATCGATGAATGCTGATGAGTGTGAGGAACAGGATACTGCCATAGAAGTGAATGATCAGCAGGGCAATCTTCAACTTGCACAGAAAAGCTCCAAAGGGCCAGTGGCTACCCATGACAAAGTATGTTGCCATAAATGGTGCAACTGGTGTGATGATAGCATCACTGACAGCCAAATGAAACTGCAAGACGGCACCAGAGCTCCACTGTGGTATACGGCAGCAGAAGACCCACAGACTGAAACTGTTGAGGAAGAAACCAACCAGGAAGACCAAGAGGAGGAAAACAGTGATGGAGACATGCTGGGGTTCCACTATACAGAGACTGCTGTTGGTTGTGATGTTGCCCAGAGGCAGCATGGACGCAGACATTGTGCTGTTCATCTTGGGATGGGATGTAGGGGGATGCAGGATATAAACATTCACCTTGAAAAATTGAAAATGGATGGATTGCTAGTCAGACCACAAAGAAACTTGCATGAAATTGTACATATTTAGTAGAAAAAATAAGTTACACTGTGTGTTACATCCTTGTCAATTCTTATAAAGCGGTGTTTAGTGTAGCCAGATAGTAGAACTGAAAAGCCACAGAACAGGATGTAAAATGTATAACTGAAGTGAGAAAAGATCTCACGAGTGACATCAACTTTGTCGCAAAAAATAGAACTCCCTTATTTAAAGTATAAATATTACGAAAAAGTATTAAAAATGTATGCACTCACTCTGGATAAGAGCGTCTGCTAAATGACTAAAATGTAAAAATGTAAATCTAATTCAAGCTTACATAACTGAAAGCTATTGTGAAAAGTATTTCTGAATCCAATGAGATGAAGGTTACAATATCTCTACACAATGGAACTTTCAGAAATATTCTGCATTATGGAGAAGCTCGTGATCATGATGAAAAGTCATAAAAATCTACTTTTTAGTAGGCTACTTACTTAAGCTTGCACTTGTAGTCCATCAGTGGGACAACATCTGAATGACAAACATGTTATAACTTCCCGAATACTATGAGGTGGTTGTCCCACAATCATGATATGTAAAGCATACAGAAGCGGAACTGCTCTTTCTCATTACCACATGATGGTGTACAGCACACATATGATCTAAACCTAATTATTTTTTCCTGTGTGGTTCTAGGAGTTGCAACCCCTAACATTATTATAGTCAGGTTGTGACATCACTTCACTGAATACATTAATTTAATTTTGAAATTTTATTGTAGCATTTTCAAACAAGTCCATACAAACTTTCACCTTCAAGACCCGGCCAGTTTGTCATAGTCAATGTACAAACAGGCCTACTGGTTGCACAAAAATGGCCACTACATTATCTTGCTGATAAATTGTTCCTGAGTAATGGATGTAATGTAAATAAACAGGAAAAACATATTTTATTAATTCAATGTTTTAAAATTATCCTAGTAATCTTTTATTTTGTGTCTTTCCTAGGTCCAGTCATTTAGATGTTTTTGTAGCCTATTTTGATTGTAGTGTCTAGGTGATATTAGAATCAGTATTGCTACATTGAGAATTCCAAATTCTTTACTTTGTCCAATTACCATAGCAATGCCAATGAACTTTAAAGTGGAACTGACAGTGTTAACTACTTTGCAGATATGAAACAAACAGACAATCATAATATCAGTAAAAAATATCAAATTCCCAGTTTATGCTACAAAGCCAACTTCATAAGAGGTTTTACAAATAGGTTATATTGGAGTCAACATTCCATGACGTAAACTAAGGCATTGTTGGCAGAATAGATTGATGCAGTTTAATGCATGATTAATACAATTCACCAACACATTTCTTGGTAGTCCAAAAAATATTCCTAGCAGGTTGTAAATCACAGCTGTCCTGGTTGCCTCCATTCGGGATGCACTGTTTCAGTTACAATGACTCAATATTTTGGACAAAAATGGACGAATGTAACTAAGGCTGCGACTGTCAATACAATCAAACTAGCAAGGGCAATGATCACAAGTCAGTCAACATGGCAAATAGGCTAGCATATCTATTTATGTAGCATGCTAAAAACACAGAGCGTAACGTTAGCTAGATAGCTAGCTGCTAGGAGGATGTCATGTCATTGGAGGAGTGGGTGAGTGATTTACTTTTTCCCTCATATCGTTTTTCGGTGGCTTTACACAGCTAGAGATGCAGGTGTAATTTGGTTAGCTAGCAAGAACTTGAACAACTGTTATCCAGTTTGCATATCTCTTGCGTTCGCAAATTCACTCTGGCTATCTATCAGAGCACTGTCATCTGAGTGTGCCAGAGAACAGAATAACTGATTAATTTACTAATGCGCAACACCCACTGAATGTGACTGGTGTCAGTAAATGTATGCAAAAAACTAAGTAATAGTTAGTCACGAACGCTCTAGATAACATGTAAACAGCCTAACCAGATCTGCTAGAACGAGTAAAATGGTCAGAGTGAGGCGTTCTCTCATTTGTGTGTGGAAGTAGCTAGCTAGCAAGCTAGCCGACTTTAGCCAGTTAGCTTGGGTGCTTGGTTGGGACAAGCATGCATTGGCAGGCAAGCTGCAAAAGGATGAGTAGGCTACAATTCCCCATCGTTTATCCGTCCAATTTTGACGGCCAACTAGCTAAAGTTTGAGAGGATTTATCTAATGTTCCATCATTCGATTTTAGCTCATCTTGCTCTGGCAAGCATTCGTTGTTGATCTTGCCGTTGTTGATGTGCATAACTGAAGGAGAGATTGCCTACCTTTTCATGGTTGTTTGATCAATAGGAAGGTAAAGTTCCCAAATGTAAGAGGACTCCCTTGGTATTTACATATGTGTAGAAATCCATTCAGGTGTATTTTGTGGCTTAGACAGCCCATCTTAATCTTTTCTTTTTATTGGCCAGTCTGAGATATGGCTTTTTCTTTGCAACTATGCCTAGAGGTCAGCATCCCAGACTCGCCTCTTCACTGTTGACGTTGAGACTGGTGTTTTGCGGGTACTATTTAATGAAGCATTAACACACCTACTCATTCAAGGGTTTTTCTTCATTTTTACATTGTAGAATAATAGTGAAGACATCAAAACTATGAAATAACACATATGGAATCATGTAGTAACCAAAAAAGTGTTAAACAAATCAAAATATATTTTATATTTGAGATTCTTCAAATAGCCACCCTGCCTTGAAGACAGCTTTGCACACTCTTGGCATTCTCTCAACCAGCATCATGAGGTAGTCACCTGGAATGCATTTCAAATAACAGGTGTGCCTTGTTAAAAGTTAATTTGTGGAATCTCTTTCCTTCTTAATGCGTTTGAGCCAATCGTTGTGTTGTGACAGAGGATAGCGCTATTTGGCAAAAGACCAAGTCCATATTATGGCAAGAACAGCTCAAATAAGCAAAGAGAAATGACAGTCCATCATTACTTTTAAGACATGAAGGTTAGTCAATCTGGAAAATGTATATATCTACATACATACACACACACACAAAAGTATGTGGACACCCTTTCAAATTAGTGGATTCGGCTATTTCAGCCACACCCGTTGCTGAGAGGTGTATAAAATTGAGCACACCGCCATGCAATCTCCATAGGAAAAAACATTGGCAGACAAATGGCCTTACTGAAGAGCTCAGTGACTTTCAACGTGGCACCATCATAGTATGCCACCTTTCCAACAAGTAAGTTCATCAAATTTCTGACATGCTAGAGCTGCCCCGGTCAACCGTAAGTGCTGTTATTGTGAAGTGGAAACGTCTAGGAGCAACAATGGCTCAGCCGTGAAGTGTTAGGCCACACAAGCTCACAGAACGGGACCGCCAAGTGCTGAAGCATGTAGCACGTAAAAATCATCTGCCCTCGGTTGTAACACTCACTACAGAGTTCCAAACTGCCTCTGGAAGCAACGTCAGCAGAATAGCTGTTCGTTGGGAGCTTCATGAAATGGGTTTCCATGGCCGAGCAGCCGCACACAAGCCTAAGATGACCATGCCAAGCGTCGGCTGGAGCAGTGGAAGCTTGTTCTCTGGAGTGATGAATCACACTTCACCATCTGGCAGTCCGAAGGACAAATCTGGGTTTGGCGGATGCCAGGAGAAAGCTACCTGTCCGAATGAATAGTGCCAACTGTAAAGTTTGGTGGAGGAGTAATAATGGTCTGGGGCTGTTTTTCATGGTTCGGGCTAGGCCCCTTAGTTCCAGTGAAGGGAAATCTTAACGCTACAGCATACAATTACATTCTAAACAATTCTGTGCTTCCAACTTGGTGGCAACAGTTTGGGGAAGGTTCTTTCCTGTTTCAGCATGACAATGCCCCCATGCACAACACGAAGCCCATACAGAAATGGTTTGTCGAGATCGGTGTGGAAGAACTTGACTGGCCTGCACAGAGCCCTGACCTGAATTGCAGACTGCGAGCCTAATCCCCCAACATCAGTGCCCAACTTCACTAATGCGCTTGTAGCTGAATGGAAGCAAGTCCCCGCAGCAATGTTCCAACATCTAGCGGAAAGCCTTCCCAGAAGAATGGAGGCTGTTGTAGCGGCAAAAGGGGGACGAACTCCATATTAAATGCTCATGATTTTGGAATGAGATGTTCGACGAGCAGCTGGCCACATACCTTTGGTCATGTAGTGTGTGTATACACACACACAGACATATATAAAAAGTGTAAAACAATAATTTAAAAAAAGTATATGGCTCTGCTACCCACTACAAAGACAAACTTCTAAATGATCTCACGCAATGCTTTGACATATGTAAAAATATCTAATTTGTGGAAACTCAAATGGACCACTCCAATGGCACAAGTAAAAAGCTCTGGAAAGCCCCTGGATTTTGTAAGGTGCAGGTAGAGGATCATGACATCAAAGGAGGCCCTAATATGCAAATCATATGACATCTAATTGTCTCAAAACTATAGCCCGGTCTCATCCTCTGATTTTCTTGTTTTTCAGATAAGATGTACAATCAGAAACAGATCAGCATGCTTGAAGCCATAATCAAAGAATGAGAACACATCAATGCTTTCCATCGACCCACGGTAGGCTACCAACATTCTACATTCTATTAGAGACTAATATTAATCACACCCAATGAAAATAATAAATATACAATGCTTGATTTCTACACTTGAGGCCTATGCAGGTCTGGCCAAAGACATGACGTAGTGTGAGATGGTGTGTTCCAGTTACTATCATCTTTCCTGTTGTAACAATTGTGGATTAGGGGATGTGCAATGTTGATTCTTTAAGATGAGTTCAAGGATATTTCTGATGAGTTCTAAGTGTTCCATCTTCACAGGTCGGGGACAGTCAATGTGGAGATGTGGGGTCAAAGCGGTCTGAATGGAACATCAACAGGATCAGGAGTTCCCAAACACCAAGCGCAGCATCACGTCTGGGTTGACTTGCTAACTAACGCTTTCATTATTATTATCCATTCCTTTAGAGTGCCAATGTCTCTCAGGTCACCACTGCTAGGACTCAGCACTCCCATGTTTCTAAGACAGGCGAACTGCAGGAAAGCCTAAGTCAGCTCAGAGCTAATACTAGTCTAGACCGCATTGATCTCAGGAAGCACAGGAAATCAGTCGATCTGAGGAATGGTGGTTTGAAGCCTTAGAAACCTGTTGGCCCACAGAGACCAAGTCTTTTCCAGTGTACTGGCATAACTCCAGGTGAAGTCACATAGTTCCTGTTATTTCATTTAAAACTGAGCCTTCTTCAGACTTTGTACTGCAACCATTGACAAAATGTATGAAATTAAGTTGTTCAAGACTGCTTAACCTTTTGATGTGATGATAAAAGCACCTCGCCTCCTCAGCCCCCACTAGGAATGTGCAAGAGAAATACCACCAGGGCGACAACACATCTCCAGAATTCAGGCGCTTCTATGAGGTGATTCTTGAGGAGCCACAGAGGAGACGTCAAGACCGGCAAAGGCAAGCACCGACAGCCCATTAACAACTCAGTCACAGGTAGTTTGGCTCGCAAGATTCGCAAAAGTTGTAATACCTACTTTGATATAAACATGACATCATGGTTGCCCTCCAGATGTGCCCACACGTCAGGAATGTGTGGATATTACAGGGATGTTGAACACCTAGAGACAGCTACATCACGTTGCTGCCTGGAGGTCCCTTGCTGCTCCCCAGACACCCTGCAGCTCCAACTAGAGGTCCTGAGTCTGCAAGGGGAGTGGGGCCAACTGGGTGGGGGTAAGAGGTGTAGCTCACTACCTACAAGACGCACAGTAAAGAAGAGTTGCTTCAAGAGTATGGTGTCAAATGACTCCCATGAGGATGCAGGGTGTGTGAGTAGCAGGAGCTTAGAGGACACAACTACAGACAGTTCAAAGGACACAACAGACTCTTTCTTCATTGCCAAGTGGGATCCAGCCCATCTTAAAGTCACCTTCACACGTAAAGACACAAATGGGCAGCCGAGAAAGAGTGTCCTCCATCCTCTTCTTGAAAGCAGCAAGATTAGAGTCCATCTTCTATTCTTCATAGTGATGTCACTCTACTGTGGGAGGTCTGAGGTTAAATAAAAAGGTCTGTCTGCTGTTGTTTCAACATCATGTATGTTTGATCATTTAATTCCAGTACTAGTCATATTGCTTCCCTTGACAACTTCCATTTTTGAAAATACTTTTGGACTTAATTTCTAAATAATTATTTTATTTACAGCTTGCTTCACCACTGACACAAACCAAACAACAGTAGGCCTTCATACATTGACATTCAGACTAGATAGATAGCTGCACTACATATTAAAACATACTTTGAACAATAATTAAGCAAGACTACATATTCATAAAAGTAATAATTGCCACTGAAAAACATTGGCCACTGAACTACATTTGTAAAGCTGGAAGACCGCTTAAAAATAGACAGCTTAAAAAAAACAAGCACTGTGGCCCGTTTGGTCCAGCGGTTACTACCGCTGACCCCGGCATACATGTATACAAATCTGACCCCCCCCCCCACCACCCCCGTCTTTCAAACACTTTACCTCTTCAATAAAGCAACAAAAATTACAAAAGGAGTGGGACTGCCCCACAAAAAATACCTTTAAAAAAATAAACAAGCATTAGAAAACAATCTAAACCTTGACCATAGAGGAAATGGCATTTTGTAATGTTCATTATGCAGTCTTTTTTTGTGGTTTCATGAGCCGACCTCAATTCTATATGAAATATCAGCATCCTTTTTTCAGACCACTGGGTTTCTTTCTTTCGATGCTTCCTACCTCCTCTTCTCTCAAAGTGGTGTGGTTGGCGTGGAGGCTGTAGTGGGCACTGTAACAGGATGGAGCCCCAGGTCCAGAGAGGGGGCTTCATCTGGCTGGGGAGGACTCTTCTTCTGGGCCTCCAGTTTCTCTGTCAGCTGGATGTACAACTCCTTCACCTGGTCACTGCTCTGTGGACACCAGACAAGCACAGAGAACAGAGAATGAGGAATATGGAAACACAATAGCTATGTCATAGGGACAGGAGTTTCCCATATGTCACTGACTATGTGACTTGAGCAGGAAAAATTACGGTATAAGCCACAGGTGGAGTTCAGAGTAAAAAAAACAACATGACAACACCTAGTGTGAGCCACCAACAAAAATTATTAATATCAATCACTGAGCTTATGCGGTTAATATAATGTTCTCATGGGGAAAATGCATGATTACATCATTAGTTATTCAGGTGTCTTAATTACATGCATACATCTTTCGGAACCTGTTTCAAGCTACAAAAGAAATTCAAAATGTCAGCTTGCCCACCTGTTTTGGGGGTTCCAGGGTTTTCAGTAAGGTCTCCACACAAGATGGCAAAACTTTGTGGTGAAGGTGAAGCAACAGGCGTAGGGTGTGTCTGTGGACATTCTCTTTACTGGAATACACATAAATATATGTCAGGGAGTTATAGGTTACATGAGATAAGAAAGGCAAAATATATAACCAATTGCACAGGAAGTACAGTATTATTATTTTATTTTTTCTATCTATCTAGCATTCGGAAAGTCTTCAGACCCCTTGACTTTTTCCAAATTTTGTTACGTTACAGCCTTATTCTAAAATGGATTTTAAAAAAAATTCTCCTGATCAATCTACACACAACACCCCATAATGACAAAGCAAAAACAGATTAGTAGAAATTTTCCCACATAAAAAAAACAAAAAAGGATATCATTTACATAAGTATTCAGACCCTTTACTCAGTACTTTGTTGAAGCACATTTTGGTAGCGATTACAGCCTCAAGTTTTCTTGGGTATGACGCTACAAGCTTGGCACACCTGTATTTGGGGAGTTTCTCACATTCTTCTCTGCAGATCCTCTCAAGCTCTGCCAGGTCGGATGGGGAGCGTCGCTGCACAGCTATTTTCAGGTCTCTCCAGAGATGCTTGATCAGGTTCAAGTCCAGGCTCTGGCTGGGCCACTCAAGGACATTCAGAGACTTGTCCCAAAGCCACTGCTGCATTGTCTTTCCTGTGTGCTTAGGGTCGTTGTCCTGTTGGAAGGTGAACCTTCGCCCCAGTCAGGTCCTGAGTGCTCTGGAGCAGATTTTCATCAAGGAGCTCTCTGTACTTTGCTCCGTTCATCTTTCCCTCGATCTCGACCAGTCTTCCATTCCCTGCTGCTGAAAAACATCCCCACAGCATGACGCTGCCACCAACATGCTTCACTGTAGGGATGGTGCCAGGTTTCCTCCAGACGTGACGCTTGGCATTTAGGCCAAAGAGTTAAATAATGGTTTTATCAGACCAGAGAATCTGGTTTAGAATCTGGTTTCTCATGGTCTGAGAGTCCTTCAGGTGCATTTTGGCAAACTCCAAGCAGGCTGTCATGTGCCTTTTACTGAGGAGTGGCTTCCTTCTGGCCACTCTACCATAAAGGCCTGATTGGTGGAGTGCTGCAGAGATGGTTGTCCTTCTGGAAGGTTCTACCATCTCCACAGAGGAACTCTGGAGCTCTGTCAGAGTGACGATTGGGTTCTTGGTCACCTCCCTGACCAAGGCCCTTCTCCCCCGATTTTTTGGACGGGCAGCCAGCTCTAGGAAAAGTATTGGTGGAAAATAACCTCTCACTCAACGTCAACAAAACAAAGGAGATGATCGTGGTCCTCTGTAGCTCAGCTGGTAGAGCACGGCGCTTGTAACGCCAAGGTAGTGGGTTCGATCCCCGGGACCACCCATACACAAAAATGTATACACGCATGACTGTAAGTCGCTTTGGATAAAAGCGTCTGCTAAATGGCATATTATTTCAGGAAACAGCAGAGGGTGCACCCCCCTATCCACATCGATGGGACCGCAGTGGAGAAGGTGGAAAGCTTCAGGTTCCTTGGCAAACACATCACTGACAAACTGAAATGGACCACCCACACAGACAGTGTGGTGAAGAAGGCGCAACAGAGCCTCTTCAACCTCAGGAGGCTAAAGAAATTTGTCTTGGCACCTAAAACCTTCACAAACTTCACAGATGCACAATTGAGAGCATCCTGTCTGGTTGTATCACCACTTGGTACGGCAACTGCAACGCCCGCAACCGCAAGGCTCTCCAGAGGGTGGTGCGGTCTATACAACGCATTACCGGCGGCAAACTACCCGCCCTCCAGGACACCTACAGCACCCGATGTCACAGGAAGGCCAAAAATATCAAAGGACATCAACCACCCGAGCCACTGCCTGTTCACCCCGCTATCATCCAGAAGGCGAGGTCAGTACAGGTGCATCAAAGCTAGGACCGAGAGACTGAAAACAGCTTCTATCTCAAGGCCAATCAGACTGTTAAACAGCCATCATTAGCACATTAAAGGCTGCTGCCTATAGACAGACTAGAAATCACTGGCCACTTCAATAATATATTGCATTACTCATCTCATACAGTGGGGGTAAAAAAGTATTTAGTCAGCCACCAATTGTGCAAGTTCTCCCACTTAAAAAGATGAGAGAGGCCTGTAATTTTCATCATAGGTACACGTCAACTATGACAGACAAATAGAGAATTTTTTTCTCCAGAAAATCACATTGTAGGATTTTAAATGAAATTATTTGCAAATTATGGTGGAAAATAAGTATTTGGTCACCTACAAACAAGCAAGATATCTGGCTCTCACAGACCTGTAACTTCTTCTTTAAGAGGCTCCTCTGTCCTCCACTCGTTACCTGTATTAATGGCACCTGTTTGAACTTGTTATCAGTATAAAAGACACCTGTCCACAACCTCAAACAGTCACACTCCAAACTCCACTATGGCCAAGACCAAAGAGCTGTCAAAGGACACCAGAAACAAAATTGTAGACCTGCACCAGGCTGGGAAGACTGAATCTGCAATAGGTAAGCAGCTTGGTTTGAAGAAATCAACTGTGGGAGCAATTATTAGGAAATGGAAGACATACAAGACCACTGATAATCTCCCTCGATCTGGGGCTCCAAGATCTCACCCCGTGGGGTCAAAATGATCACAAGAACGGTGAGCAACAATCCCAGAACCACACGGGGGGACCTAGTGAATGACCTGCAGAGAGCTGGGACCAAAGTAACAAAGCCTACCATCAGTAACACACTACGCCGCCAGGGACTCAAATCCTGCAGTGCCAGACGTGTCCCCCTGCTTAAGCCAGTACACGTCCAGGCCCGTCTGAAGTTTGCTAGAGTGCATTTGGATGATCCAGAAGAGGATTGGGAGAATGTCATATGGTCAGATGAAACCAAAATAGAACATTTTGGTAAAAACTCAACTCGTCGTGTTTGGAGGACAAAGAATGCTGAGTTGCATCCAAAGAACACCATACCTACTGTGAAGCATGGGGGTGGAAACATCATGCTTTGGGGCTGTTTTTCTGCAAAGGGACCAGGACGACTGATCCGTGTAAAGGAAAGAATGAATGGGGCCATGTATCGTGAGATTTTGAGTGAAAACCTCCTTCCATCAGCAAGGGCATTGAAGATGAAACGTGGCTGGGTCTTTTAGCATGACAATGATCCCAAACACACCACCCGGGCAACGAAGGAGTGGCTTCGTAAGAAGCATTTCAAGGTCCTGGAAAGGCCTAAGCCAGTCTCCTGATCTCAACCCCATAAAACATCTTTGGAGGGAGTTGAAAGTCTGTGTTGCCCAGCGACAGCCCCAAAACATCACTGCTCTATAGGAGATCTGCAAGGAGGAATGGGTCAAAATACCAGCAGTGTGTGAAAACCTTGTGAAGACTTACAGAAAACGTTTGACCTGTGTCATTGCCAACAAAGGGTTTATAACAAAGTATTGAGAAACTTTTGTTATTGACCAAATACTTATTTTCCACCATAATTTGCAAATAAATTCATTAAAAATCCTACAATGTGATTTTCTGGAAAAGAAATTCTCATTTTGTCTGTCATAGTTGACGTGTACCTATGATGAAAATTACAGGCCTCTCTCATCTTTTTAAGTGGGAGAACTTGCACAATTGGTGGCTGACTAAATACTTTTTTTTCCCCACTGTATGTATATACTGTATTCTATACTATTCTACTGTATCTTAGTCCATGCCGCTCTGACATTGCTCGTCCATTTATGTATATATTCTTAATTCATTCCTTACTTAGATTTGTGTGTATTGGGTATATGTTGTGAAATTGTTAGATATTACTTGTTAGATATTACTGCACTGTCGGAGCTAGAAGCACAAGCATTTCACTACACCCGCAATAACATCTGCTAAACACGTGTATGTGATCAATAAAATGTGATTTTATTTGATTTTAAGAATGATGGAGGCCACTGTGTTATTGGGTCCTTCAGTGCTGCAGACATTTTTTGGTACCCTTCCCCAGATCTGTGCTTCGACGCAATCCTGTCTCGGAGCTCTATGGACAATTCCTTTGACCTTATGGCTTGGTTTTAGCTCTGACGTCCACTGTCAACTGTGGGACCTTATATAGACAGGTGTGTGCCTTTCCAAATCATGTCCAATCAATTGAATTTACCACAGGTGGACTCCAATCAAGTTGGAGAAACATCTGAAGGATGATAAATGGAAACAGGATGCACCTGAACTCAATTTCGAGGTATTTCTTTTTTTAAAATTTGTTTAACTTTGCACACACAAAATAAACCTGTTTTCGCTTTGTCATTATAGGGTATTGTGTGTAGATTGAAATTTTATCAATTTTAGAATAAGGCTGTAACGTAACAAAATGTTGAAAAAGGGAACCCGATGGTCACTCTGACAGAGCTCCTCTGTGGAGATTCTTCCAGAAGGAAAACCATATCTGCAGCACTCCACCAATCAGGCCTTTATGGTAGTGTGGCCAGACAGAAGCCACTCCTCAGTAAAAGGCACGACGGCTCGCTTGGAGTTTGCCAAAAGGCACCTAAAGGACTCTACGGTGGCACCATCCCTACGGTGTAGCATGTTGGTGGCAGCATCATGCTGTGGGGATATTTTTCAGTGGCAGGGACTGGGAGACTAGTCAGGATCAAGGGAAAGATGAACAGAGCAAAATACAGAGAGAACCTTGATGAAAACCTGTTCCAGAGCGCTCAGGACCTCAGACTGGGGCTAAGGTTCACCTTCCAACAGGACAACGACCCTAAGCACACAGCCAAGACAATGCAGGAGTGGCTTCGGGACAAGTCTCTGAATGTCCTTGAGTGGCCCAGCCAGAGCCCGGACTTGAACCCGATCGAGCATCTCTGGAGAGACCTGAAAATAGCCGTGCACGACGCTCCCCATCCAACCTGACAGAGCTTGAGAGGATCTGCAAAGAAGAATGGGAGAAACTCCCCAAATACATGTGTGCCAAGCTTGTAGCGTCATACCAAAGAAAACTCGAGGCTGTAATCGCTACCAAAAGGTGCTTCAAAGTACTGAGTAAAGGGTCTGAATACTTATGTAAATGTTATGTTTTTTATTTCTAATAATCCGTTTTTGCTTTGTCATTATGGGGTATTGTGTGTAGCTTGATGAGGATTTTTGGGGGGATCAATTTTACAATAAGGCTGTAACGTAACAAAATGTGGGAAAAGTCAAGGTGTCTGAATACATTCCGAATGCACTGTAGTCTTATGACCAAGTATACTTTTTAAAAGAATGTCTTTGGTGGGGTAATTGGTACTACCGAAAATAAATACAACAACTTTGGCAGCCATGCCATTCTAAAGAGGTTTATTCTACCTGTAAGATTCATGGGAAGATCATTCAATTTAATTAGATCTGCTTTCATATTGTTGAGTAATGGAATAAAGTTCATGCATTTGTTGTTTATTGTCACTCATTAAGCATCCTAAGTATTTCATATTTTTTGTGGTCTACTTAAAGGATTGCTGTAGATCTTGAGTTATTATTTTTCCTATTGCCATTATTTCGTTTTTTCCCACGTTAATTTTATATCCTGAGATTTTTTAGTATTCTGAAAAAAAATTTTTTATATTAGTCAGGTATATCAGGAGACCATCTGCAAATAAGTTTAGTTTATATTCATGTTTACCAATACCTGTTATGTTTGGGTCCTGTCTAAATCTTTCTACAAGCAGTTCAATTGCCAGTGCAAACAGGAAGGGGGGAGAGGGGACATCCCTGTCTTGTGCTCCTTTCTAAAGCAATTTCATTAGATCCTGTATTATTTTATGTCTATTTTTGCTTTAGGACATTTATACAATATTTTTATAAAATGTGTTATTTCAGCTGAAAAGTTGAAAGCTTCCAATGTTTTGAATAGAAAAGGCCATTCAAGACGGTTGAATGCCTTTTTGGCATCAACAGCCATTATTGATAAATCTATAGCTTTGTTTTTTTTTGCGTATTGTGAGTACAGTATTCTACTTCAATGTCACATATTTCATAAATGTGCAGTAAGACTTCCATCGGTTTCAAATGCAGTATTTGCAGTAATCTCCTGTATGTCCCAGGACAAGACAGACCTGGAGAAAGAGGCGAGAAGAAAGCCATCAAACACGGCAGAGCAGAACTCTTCAGTCCCAAACTCATCAGAGAGCAAGGTGAGGTGTCCTGTCAGGAGGTGCAGGAAGATGTCCCCAAAGGCCATGTCGTTGTGGGTCTCCACTGCAGTTAATTGAAAAAACTATGTTGAGAGCCATGTTAACAACAATACACTAACAGTATTTTTTTCCTTCTATTAACCTGTGGCAAAACAAGTGCAGAACCTACCCAAAGCGGGAAGTAACCGTTGTAAGGCATTCTTGTTCCTCTGCTTGGCAATGTGGAGTGTGTAGTACAGACCTATCTCACAAGCCACCCTGTTCTCCTGCAGGTACCTAGGGCAGGGGAGAACTCACTTTATATCAGAGGCTTCTCATTGAAATGCATTAAACACAAATCTCCCATGTACACTGTACATAATATTGACAATTTAAATGCACATGTATATTTTTGAATATCAATACTATGTGTTTTACATTCTATAGTTTTACATGATTATGTTATTAATGTCATCAAACATATATAAAAATGTATTAGAGCCATACAAAGTCTACCAAAGTAACATGTTCCATTCTAACCCCATCCCCTGTGTGACAGCCCATCCCAGTGGTTACTTGTTGAAGGCATCAGGCAGGGCTGTGGGGTAGGTGAGGGAGGTCTTCTCCTCATTGGGGAGCTTCTGTTCTACAGTGAAGGTGTAGTCGTCCACAACTAATGACAACATGGCTGGTAGAAAACGGGTTACAACCTCCAGTTCCTGAGAGGGAAGGAATCAAATATGATGAGTCTCTGCCCTGGCCGGATGTCAGATCTACGCCATACCTAGCAGTGGTAATTGTGAAGAGGTTGCTTTCCAGCTCTGCACATCAAACTATTGTTTACTGTGTATCTCATAAGTAATATACTACAGACTCGTAAACTCACTGAAGAAAAACAAATGATTATAAAATAATACTAGTGGAAACATGAAGTGAATGCATACCAATCTGGGCTCTTTAAAGACTTGGCTGTCAATCATATCCCAAGCACCTTGTCCAAGAGACAGCATTCTGAGCAGCAGCATCAGGTCTGGACTGTCCTGTTCATTCACACATAAACATCTCTCTTCAGTAGTGGCAGTAGGTCTCCACATAGCATTGACAGAATATAGAAATGGATAGAAGGAACATAAGGCCATAAACGACAACATTGAATGTCTTACTCTGGGTAGAGCGTCCTGGCTTAGCAATTCCTGCAAGTTTCGGACTGTACTCAAAACCAGGGTGTTACAGGCAAATGGATCACACAGGATCATGGACAGGTCCCTGGAAAGCAAGAAGACCCACTGCGTTTTTGTCACATCTTTTTATGAATCCTACAATCATAAGCCACGTTCAATCACATTTCCTACACTCTTCTTTTCTCACCCAAGTACTTGCTCCTGTCCTTTCTTCACTCCATCCAGAAAACCTTGTAATTCCCGGGCTCGCTTGGCATCCACAAACTTCTCACGGATACAGGCATCCAAGCACCAGGTGAACTGCCAAGATAGACATAAATACAGCACTCTGCCTCAGCATGCAGAACATTCACCAGCGGATTTGTATATATTTGAAATCAATACTATTCCTGTTTCAGTTTGCCTACAGAAGAAGGCAACTCAGATCAGTTGCATTGTCTCTTTCTTAGGAATTGAGCACACCTTATGGCAGGGGTCTACTGAACAGATCTCACTGATGTCCAGGTCATGGAGGGACATGAGCAGCTCTGCACGCAAGGTGCAATAGTGGACGTTGCGCGTACGCAGGAAGAGGGTTCGCAGGAACTGAAGCACCATGTCATACAGCTTCACATTCTTCCCAATCATCTGGGTCAGCTTCAAGACTACCTGTACATAAAACAGAAAAAACACACACAACTCTCTTCTGAGTTTATAGAAAAATGGTTGATAGACTAGGAACAACTTTTGTTATAATGGGCTCCTGGCCCTAATCAAAACCTTATTGGAATGTGAACAGAATCTATTGGGAGTCAAAAGGTAATGAAAAGGTCCAGATGTACTCGGGTGGCTCACCTCTCCTTGGCGTCTTGCTTTGGGGGAGGGGCTGAAGAAGTTGTGCAGAATAGAGAGATCGCTGCTGAAAAGTGCTGCCTCCTTCTCCACAATATACTGCTTGAGCAGGGGCGAAACCTCATCCCCGAAGAGAGCCTGGTTGTCCTGCCAGATCTGCCTCTTCACCTCAACAGCACAGACCTTATACAGTTCCTTATCAGCCATCACAAGCTTCAGCTTTTTCTCTGGAACCTGTTCATAGGAAGTCAGTCAGGAAATACATTTCAAACACTGAGCTGTGGTAGGAACACAGTGTTTTGAAGAGAGAAAACATGGCCAATGGCAGGTGCAAACAACTATAAAGAGAAAAAGATCTGCGTTGCGGGTTAATGAGGTGCATTCATTAAAAGTACGGTGGAAAGACAGAGACTTGCCTTTGGAAGATGTTTCAGAACCTGCATGACCACTGGCTGAATGGAAGGCATCTTCACCAGCGGAAAACTCTTCTCTAAAAGCTCTTCAAGTTTACCATAACTGTAGAGGGAGGAGGAATAAACAAACAATCATGTCTAACATGTACAACAGTTTACACTGATGATTTCGCTATCCAGACCTGGTGTTTACTAGCTAAGTAGTAGCCAGCTATATACAGTGCATTCGGAAAGTATTCAGACCCCTTCACTTTTTCCACATTTTGTTACGTTACCTTATTTTAAAATTGATTATATTGTCTTTTCCCCTCATCAATCTACACACAATACCCCATAATGACGAAGCAAAAACAGGTTTATATACATTTGTGCTAATGTATTACAAATAAAAACTGAAATATCACGTTTACATAAGTATGCAGACCCTTTACTTTGTTGAAGCACCTTTGGCAGCGATTACAGCCTCGAGTCTTCAGTATGACGCTACAAGCTTGGCACACCTGTATTTGGGGAGTTTCTTCTCTGCAGATCCTCTCAAGCTCTGTCAGCCATCCGTAGGGATGGTGCCAGGGTTCCTCCAGACGTGAAGCTTGGCATTCAGGCCAAAGAGTTCAATCTTGGTTTCATCAGACCAGATAATCTTGTTTCTCATGGTCTGTGAGTCCTTCAGGTGCCTTTTGGCAAACTCCAAGCAGGCTGTCATGTGCCTTTTACTGAGGAGTGGCTTCCGTCTGGCCACTCTACCATAAAGGCTTGATTGGTGGAGTGCTGCAGAGATGGTTGTCCTTCTTCAAGGTTCTCCCATCTCCACAGAGGAACTCTGGAGCTCTGTCAGAGTGACCATCGGGTTCTTGGTCACTTCCCTGACCAAGGCCCTTCTCCCCCGATAGCTCAGTTTGGCCGGGCGGCCAGCTCTAGGAAGAGTGAAGAGTCTTGGTGGTTCCAAACTTCTTCCATTTAAGAATGATGAGGCCACTGTGTTCTTGGGGACCTTCAATGCTGCAGAAATTTTTTGGTAACCCTTCCCCAGATCTGTGCCTCGACACAATCCTGTTTCGGAGCTCTACGAACAATTCCTTCGACCTTGATTTTTGCTCTCACATGCACTGTCTGTGGGACCATATATAGACAGGTGTGTGCCTTTCCAAATCATGTCCAATCAATTGAATTTACCACAGATGGACTACAATCAAGTTGGAGAAACATCAAGGATGATCAATGGAAAAAGGATGCACCTGAGCTCAATTTCGAGACTCATAGCAAAGGGTCTGAATACTTATGTAAATAATCTGTTTTTTATTTTTAATAAATTGGCTAAAATTTCTAAAAACTTGTTTTCGCTTTGTCATTATGGGGTATTGTGTGTAGATTGATGAGGGGAAAAAATGTATTTAAGCAAATTTAGAATAACGCTGTAATGTAACAAAATGTGGAAAAAATGAAGGTGTCTGAATACTTTCCGAATGCACTGTATACATGTAAAGAGATGTCGCACCGGTCCTCATCCTTGCCCTCCGCGATAGTGGCGACTCGCTCCATCAACTTGTCACGAAGCTCGTCAAAGACAGACTGGTGAAACTCCAACCGAGGAGTCCCGTGAAGGTCAAGAAAGGGAAGAGCGGACTGAAGAGTTGGCAACAAAATGCCATTTTCTGTCTGCAAACACATTATCAGACCGGTGGTGAGATAATAATCAATGCACTGAAATAGTGGTGTTATTAATTTGATAAATCGGAGCAGTGAAATGTTATTGTAATCTATACTCAGGGAGGTTGCTAAGTAGAGGCAAAGTGGTTCAATCTAACTGTTGTGTTAATTAGTTGCGATAATTATAAATTAAGTGGCTAGTTAGCATAGGTCTCGTCATTCAAATAACATTAGCTAATGTTAGCTAACTAGCTTTGTTGTTAGCATGTAGTTAGCTAGCTAGCTCTGAATCGTTTCATGATGAATTTTGTTTACTGATGGAATTTAGTAACTCACTAGCTAAAGTACATGTGTTGGTAAAGTGCTGACAAACATCTATGTGCGCACAGTGTCATTTATCCAAAATACGAAATGCATGACTTCAGAGCACTTTGAATCGTTATACTGCCAGCTGGCTCTGGTCCACACGCCGGGTGCGCACGCATATTTTGGACAAGGCGAACACAAAGACATGTTCATGAGCGTGAGCGAGGACAGAGAGTTAGAGGTGAAGTGAGAGGGTTTCCTCCACCCAAAATCTGTCAACAAAAATAAGTCCATGAAGTAAGAAATGTTTGCATAGAGGTCAACAAGTGTTGAATTTGGTCAACAAAAAAATGTAATTGCTACTTTGCTACGTGAGGCTTATTTTTAATCGAATAGAAGTTTCGTAATGGTTAGGTTGTTAAGAATGCACTGATATAATTGGATGCACGTGGCATTTCGGCAACTTTGTGGGGGGGAAAATGACTTCTATCGGAGATGTACCTGTTGTGCACACACGTATCTGCCCTCTCATTGGCTAGAATGGTCCCACCTGATCTCGCCTCTTCCCGCCAATAAGGTATAATAAGAACTGGAGACTCTGTCCAAGACGTCTGTCAATCGATGTAGGTGAGGGAGTACATTTGAAGGGTGTTTTCACTGACACTGCTGGCCGAGAGTAAAAGGGTTTGGACGTCATTTGAGGTGCGAAGGTTGATCGGCAGGTAGCGAAGAAGGACCGAAGTTTATTGCTCATATTTTATCGAAAGCGCTATGAATAAGTGTAGAAAGGGAGAGTAGGAAGGTAAATGGAGTCCCTTGAGAAAGCAAGAAACAGATGCATGTCAGGAGAAGTGCAGTATTATCATAAGGAAACTTATACCTGGATGACTGAGGAGGATTTAGGGAAAAAGAGAGGCAGAGGAGGTCTAAGAGAGAGAGGGAGGAAGACTGTGAGCTTGAGTCAGTTAAAAATGGAAGAAAAAAGGGAGAAGGTTTGTTAAAGAAGAATGGTAGGAAATGTAAGCAAAGTGAGCTGAAGACAGGAGGAGAAATGGAAGTGAATGAGGGTGAAGTATCGGAGGTGGAAGGTGTGGTGAAGTACTCGGAGCCTGAGGATTGCACAGAGGATTGCAAATCGGAGGGCCTGTTGTCTGGACCTCTGGCAGTCTCTATGGGGGTGCCACAGGGTTCAATTCTCGGGCCGACTCTATTCTCTGTGTATATCAATGATGTCGCTCTTGCTGCTTGTGACTCTCAGATCCACCTCTACGCAGACGACACCATTTTGTATACATCTGGCCCTTCATTGGACACTGTTAACAAACCTCCAAACGAGCTTCAATGCCATACAACACTCCTTCCGTGGCCTCCAACTGCTCTTAAACACTAGTAAAACTAAATGCATGCTCTTCAATCGAACGCTGCTTGCACCCGCCTGCCCGACTAGAATCACTACTCTCGGCGGGTCTGACTTAGAATATGTGGACAACTACAAATACCTAGGTGTCTGGTTAGACCGTAAACTCTCCTTCCAGACTCACATTAAGCATCTCCAATCCAAAGTTAGATCTAGAATCGGCTTCCTATTTCGCAACAAAGCCTCCTTCACTCATGCTGCTAAACTGACTATCCTACCGATCCTTGACTTCGGCGATGTCATTTACAAAATAGCTTCCAACACTCTACTCAGCAAATTGGATGTAGTCTATCACAGTGCCATCCGTTTTATAAAAAAAATAAAAATAACATGCCATTTAGCAGACGCTTTTATCCAAAGCGACTTACAGTCATGCATGCATACAGTTTTGTCACCAAAGCCCCATATACTACCCACCATTGTGACCTGTACGCTCTCGTTGGCTGGCCCTCACTACATATTCGACGCCAAACCCACTGGCTCCAGGTCATCTATAAATCCCTTCTAGGCAAATCCCTGCCTTATCTTAGCTCATTGGTCACCATAGCAACACCCACCCGTAGTATGCGTTCCAGCAGGTATATCTCACTGGTCATCCCCAAAGCCAACACCTCCTTTGGTCGCCATTCCTTCCAGTTCTCTGCTGCAAATGACTGGAACGAACTGCAAAAATCTCTGAAGCTGGAGACACTTATCTCCCTCACTATCTTAAAGCATCAGTTGTCAGAGCAGCTTACCGATCACTGCACCTGTACACAGCCCATCTGTAATTAGCCCACCCAACTACCTCATTCCCATATTGTTATTTACATTGTTATTCATTTTGCTCATTTGCACCCCAGTATCTCTATTTGCACATCATCTTCTGCACATCTATCACTCCTGTGTTAATACTAAATTATAATTGTAATTATTTCTGCACTATGGCCTATTTATTGCCTTAATGCCATAACTGAATACATTTGCACACACTGTATATAGATTTTCTATTGTGTTATTGACTGTACGTTTTGTTTATTCCATATGTAACTGTGTTGTTGTTGTTTTTTTCCGCACTGCTTTGCTTTATCTTGGCCAGGTCGCAGTTGTAAATGAGAACTTGTTCTCAACTGGCTTACCTGGTTAAATAAAGGTGAAATAAATAAAATATAAAAGGGTCAGGATGAAGATGAGTCTGTGACAGTAGGAGTGACGTTTTTGGAAAAAGTGGACCCTTGCCTTTTGGCTGATCCATTTGGGGTTTCAAGATGGGTGAAAAAAGCGTTGGGTAAAGTGGAATCGGTGAGGGTAACCAGAAGTGGTCTAGTGATAATTGTTTGTGTTTCTGTTGGTCAGAGAGAGAAGGTGCTCAGATTTAGACAAATGGGGGAAAGAATGGTGAATTGTTTCGTTCTCAAGAAAAGGGCGCCATTGAAAGGAGTGATTACTGGGGTAGCAGTAAATGTAAAAGTGGACCAACTGAAGGGGAAGATTCCCGGTGTGTGTGATGCTCGTCGTTTGGTGCGACACAAACAGGGGGGCGAGAGTGGAGAAACAGGGGAGTCATTGTCTGTTCTTTTGAGTTTTGAAGTTGAGTCTGTCTGATAAAGTGAAGTTAAGTTATCCTGTACGAGCTTATGTGCTGAACACATTACGATGTTACAGGTGTCAAACTTATGGGCATGTGGCAGCAGTGTATAGGAGGGAGGTTCCAAGGTGTGAGAAGTGTGCAGAAGGGCATGAGACAAAGGAATGTGTAGCATTGGGGAAAGTAGTGGTATGTGCTAATTGTAGGGGTGCCCATGGGGCTGGGGATCAGAAATGTCCTGTGCGAGAGAGGCAGGTTGAGGTTTCCAGGGTAAGAGTAGTGAAGAAGTTGTCATATGCTGAGGCAGTGAAGAAAGTAGAGGAAGATGGGTCAAGGGGGAGGAGTGGTGAGAGTAGTAGAGATGTACCAATGCAGAGGGATAGGCCAAGAAGTGATATATGTTTCAGTAAGACTGGATTTTTAGCATTTATAGCAATGGTTATTAATTGTACAGCAGGGATGGAATGTAAGTCTAAGAAAATTGAGGTTGTGGTGGCAGCTGAAGAGAGGTATTTGGGTGTGTGAGACTTGACATCAGAAGAGTTACAGGGAGTGTTAAGTGGTGATGTTCCATCATCTCAGGTTGAGGGCATGAGGTAGGAATGAATATTTTTAAATAGTGGAGTGGGGTGATGTTAATTATTAATAATAATTTTGAATTTGTGAGTGTAGTGTTAAAAGGTAGGGTATTTCTTTATTTAATTTTCCAAGCAAAATATAAGGGAGTTGTACACCAGTCTAGTAGGTGGTGGTAATGCAACAAATTGGATGCCAACCGCCGTTAAACCTCATCGAAGAAGAAGAAGTCCAAGATGTCTGCCCGTTGTTTTCAAGGTAATCTACTCACGTTCGCATACGAGGAATCGATTATTTTGGAGTTTAGTAACAAAACCTACATGTACGCAACTATAGGGCTGGCTTAGATTGTTGACATGTAAATTATATTTCGTCCCATGTTTTTTGCAACAAATACATTTGAACAATGAGCACTTGTCTCTCAAATACATCGTTACTGTTGCTGGTTAGCGAGCTATCAAATGTTTGCCATATTAACATGAAATCTGTCAAAACAAGACATGGTATCATGAACAAGATGAAACGAGTCACATACGATTCCCTACATGGCCGTTTCATTTAATCGTTGGTAGCTATCTGGCCATCCAGAATCACAACTACTCATGGACTTCTGCCCCCATTGAAGTGTGCGCATCGTGTTTTGTGACGTTGTCAGCTAATCCATCTATTGGCCTATCTTCATACTGTACTGCCTTTGCTTTGTTGTCACTGAAAAATTGTTGGCTGCAACTGTTTTAAAACCGGTTATGAAAGTAGAGGGCTTTATGTTTCTAGAACCATAACGCGATTGAGAATCGATTCATAGTGGAGTATTTGGCTGCCAGAGCCAATTCGCCTAAATAGGACACTTGAAATAGTAACGTTAGGCTCATTTAGTGCATTACTGTATTGCTAACGTTGTTTTAATGACATAGCCGTACGTTAACGAACCGCTTAAATTAGAATGATCGTCAATAATCAACACACCGTTAGCTTGAACCACTTTGTCGATCCGCTAGTATCATCATGTTTAGCTGTTGTTAGCTTGCTAGCTAAAGGTAGTTAGCTAGCTTACCTGAAACTGGTCAATGGCTTTCAGAGGCTCTGTGCAGTTGGTCAGTGTTTCTTTTAGATCCTCGCCATTGGATATCCCAAGCTCAGGCAGGCCCGCAAACATTTTCTATTTTGTATAATATAATTGCACATATGTTTAATTAAAGAAACATAGAGCTAATAATACGATATATTCGTAAACTAATGACTACAAGTTCGCTACTTTCTTTCTTCTTGGCTAACGACGCACGCTTCCTGTAAGCAGTGCACCCAGTAAAGAGGCCGATGTGCACAAACAATCCGAAGCGCAATTAGTTACGCTTCTCCATATAATTACATATTGGAAGTCGGATTTAGTGTATCATTTCAAGAATACAACATTAAATCAGGGACATGAACAAGACCATCTAAGTTTCAAGGACTCTATGAAGTGATTTAGCAATAAAAAAACTATTTAATAAAGCAAAATGTAAAAATGTCACCGCAATGTCATAACATTTATATGACCACCATAACTACTCATTTGAGGTCACATCAGCCAGAGGATCCATAATAGGTTGTGGTTTTCATAGATTTGTATTATTTTGGTTCCCTTTTCTTTTTAGTCTTTCTTTGGTATTGACTGTCAAAATGACAGATTATCAACAAGGAAAAAGCAATAAATGTAGCTCATTTTAAATTTCATGACATGCTAGCAAAGAATGACACACACAAACAACAGAGTCCTGAGTTAACACAAAGTCTAACAACAGCACAAAAAGACAATTCATGAATTCAGATGGCTCACTTGCATTTCAGCATTGTAGTATACTCAGGTATATGTGAGGTTAAATGGAAGTGCTTACATAGCACTTCAATTTCACCTTTCACATACTTACATATAGGCTACTACAAATCTATCCTCAGTTTTCTTGATTATAAAACATGTACTCGAGATAGAATGGTTTGGAATTACAGTGCATGCCATTAAATCACTTAGACATTACCAAATGTCCAAAACTTGTACAAAATGTAGTATAAATGGTCACCAATACATCTGACTTCAAATTGGGGACCTTCAATGCTGCAGACATAAATGTGGATATACTTTTCTCCTGTAGCCTCCTCTAAAATATGTGACATTGGAATGATTGAAATTATGGGACTGATAAGTGCATGATTCTGACTGGGGAGAACAGTAACCAAATGGTGCCATGAAGACATTCTTAGATGATGCCATCACTGCCCTTCTTCTTTTGGCAGGTCTTCAGTAGAAGATATCCAGACACAATGAGGATAAGGAAGATAAAGAGGAAGATGAGACCAGCCCAGGCCTCGGGCCGCAGAGCCTTCCTCAGTCCCATGCTCTCCCCTGGCAACAGACTGCTCAGACTCAACATGTAACCCAGCGCCCAGCCAATAGAGGTGTCTCCTGCCTGCACAAAACAAGAAAAACAAACCATTACTGAACTCCTAAGTATATACAGTAGTCAAGGGGTACATGAAAAAGCTATATGGAAATAGCTTTTATTGCATTGAAATAGAGTCAAACATTCATAAGGTTTACTTTGCTGCTCACCTTTCTCTGAAAAGAGATCCGAGGGAAGGAGAGCTCATCAAAGCCATAGCCTTGGAGCATGAGGACCTGGATAAAGACAGAGGCTGCACAGTAATCCTGTAGACGACCCTTCTGGTCTGGGGCCTTCTCTAGCATCTGTTTATGTGGAGGGGGGGTTAGAAAAATATGACAATGTTAATTTCTCAGAATTCTTAGTATTCCTCTGTTGTTCACTTTTCTGGTGGGAGGAGCTATAAGAGGACGGGCTCATTGCAATGGCTGGAAAGGGGTCTATGGAACGGAGTCAAACACATTGTTTCCATTGATTCCATTCCAGACAGAACAAATTCAATTAAATGTACAGTATTATATAGAGCCATGATTGCATGGAACTCCCTTCCATCTCATATAGCGCAAGTGAACAGCAAACCTAGTTTAAAAAAACAAATAAAGCAACACCAAGTGCTCAGAAAGCATCCAAAATGCTAGCAATGGAATAAAATTCCCTGATTATTAGATCAGATCTCCTTTCACTCAGATTATAATCCTGTGCAGTGCCTGCTACCCTCCAGGGAACGTAATTAAGGCTCACTCTCACAGCCTAAGTAGATATATTCTTCCCAGCATTCAACATTCGTGAGAACATCCACCCTCTAATGTTATTTTACTCAGTTGCTGTAATATGAGATTCACTGTACACTCTTAGAAAAAAAGGTCTCCAAAAGGGTTCTTCGGCTGTCCCCATAGGATAACCCTTTTTGGTTCCAGGTAGGACCCTTTTTGGTTCCAGGAGGAACCCTTTTGGTTCCATGTAAAACCCTCTGTGGAAAGGGTTCTACCTGGAACCTAAAAGGCCTCTATCTGGAACCTAAAGCGTTTCACCTGGAACCAAGGTTCTTCAAAGTTTTCCCCACGGGGACAGCCGAATAACCCTTTTAGGTTCTAGATAGCACCTTTTTTTCCCTAAGTGTACTGCGAAAATGTGAAAATAAGAGAATGCGCTTTAGAGCAAGAAAACCATTGTTTGCAACTAAAGTATATTACATAGATACATTGTCTAAGAATAGCCTGAGTCAGTCAGCTGAGCCCAGCAGTTCAGTACAGTACTTCCTGATAGCTCATGTTGCAGACAGTGCGGGTGGCTCCCTCCAGTAGAGTGGGGGATGTTACAGTGATGCCAGTGGTGCTCTGCAGGAAGACATGAGTGTAGAAGAAGGCAGAGAAGGCCTGAGGAGAGGAAGATACAATCAGCCCCTTGAGATCAGAGCAATACCCAGAGGATTAGCCTGTCTAATTAATCTCATGAGGCTGTGGGATTGTCGTCTGTATGCGATGGCATAGTGACATAGCCTATGAATGAAAACAGAACAAAACCCTATTGTTCTGACCAAATGTCTGCAAATAGATACTTGCCTGAAAGGAAATCAATCAATGTTATTGTTAAATAGCTTGTACCAAAGTACATACTGTAACTAAATACTAGGATACCGTGTACATTTGAAAGAAAATGGGATCTATTGTGAGAAACAGTGAACCATAGATTGATCCTATGATTGATCCTAAAGTGCGTTCCATGCAGGGGATCCTCCTCACCATGAAGCTGCCAGTGACGTTGGGCTGAAAGACTCCATCAAAGGAGCACTTGGAAAAAGAGCACCTGTCAAAGGAGAAAATCTTGGACATGTTGCCCAGGCAGTGCTGGTAATGCCCAGTGCCAATCACTGTCAGGGGGTCCTGGGGGCTGTAGGGAGTGGGCCTTTGGTCTGCCGTGCATGGGGAGTCAAACACCTTGTCCAGCTTCATGGAGACATTGAAACCTGCTGGATAGCAGGGGTGTGATACATGGGGCCCAGTGCCTTGAGTCTGAGAGACAGAGGAGACAAAAGGCATACCTCTGTAGCCATATCCTCATGATAAATGGCTATAAGCTGCCTGCAGTGGAGGCTGCTGAGGGGAGGACGGCTCAGAATAATGGCTGGAACGGAGCGAATATAATGGCATCAAACACATGGAAACCATGTATTTGATGTATTTGATACCATTACACTAATTCCACTCCAGCCATTACAACGAGCCCGTACTCCCCAATTAAGGTGCCACCAACCTCCTGTGATATCCCGTATTTGAGCCTAACATTGTTCTATGTTTTTACAATCATTATGCACTTTGGTTTGTGATGTACTCAATCATTCTGTGTTTGTAATGCTACTGTATTTTAGGAGAATGTTTGTTACCTTGACCAAGTGAGCCAGCAGTCTGCGTAAGACCTGGTCCCTGCCGTAGCACAGGAAGCTCTGTGTGTATAGGTGGTAGTCTCTACCGTAAAGATGCAGCTCCATGACGTTACTCTTGTCCTCCACCATGTCTGCGGTCTCGAAGGTAATCTGAGTGGAGGCGCCTCCGAAGTCCAGAGCACCCACTGTGTCTCTGCCAGGACTAAGCCAATGCCCCACAAAGCCATACTAAGTGACAAAATAAAGAATGAGAAGGAAATTAAATGAGAGCCAGTTGGTCTTGAGAAACAATGAAAACAAACCAATGTTTCCTATTCATCATTCCTCAACATTGCCAACACTGCTTAACATTCATTCCTAAGTGTTCTTGAATGGCTCTGATGCGGACTCTGAAACTTCACCTTGATAAAGTTCTCTAACAGGTAGTTGACAGTGACCCAGCCATATGCCCCCTCCTCCTGTCCACTCAAGATGGTCGCTCCTCTGAAGTCGAAAGGATAAGTATGCAGCTTGCTGCCTAGTTCCTTCAGTATCTTCTCTGACTCTGTGGGGTTGGATATACTGTGGGAAAGAGAGAGGAAATAGGGACAGAACTAGACAATAATTTCTATCAAAATGTTGTCATTATCCAAGTAAGTATAAAGCCATTCATTAATCATTCTAATGTGATAGCTCACATTATCCATGAATGGAAGATGCTATTATACTGTGTATCCAGTGGCGACCTGTCATTCAGGGCAGGTGGGGCAGAGTCCCATCTGTCTTGAGCCCCACATTTCTTTTTTTGGGGGCTTGCCTATTTTGCATGTTAATTTGGCATTAATACGTGTCACATTTCAGTTTGCAAACAATGTAAAAAAATAAATCATTGAATTCATAAAGCCGCTTTCTTGAGTAAGGCAGCTCCAAAATGCAGGTGTTTCAGCCTAGCTCAGTGCTTTCTGTGGTGGTGGGGCAGCCAGCGGAAAATACGGAGCGTAGGTGTTGGTAATGTTCTCTAGTTGCGCCGTGATTGGTTCAGTGTTCTGTCATTCATGGGGACACTAGTCACCGCCAAGTCTAAGGGTAGAGCTCGAAAATTCAAGCCCCTTGGGTGCTGCCATAGAGTTACATTAGAAGTGCCCATCCAAGAAGGCTCAAGGTCATTGTCCACAGATAAAATGACGTCAAATCATGTTATATCTACAGTAGCTTTGATTGGACTGATCATGTCAACATCATACTTTCAAAATCTTAGCTAGCAGTCATCATCATGAATCAAGTCCACAATCTACTGGCAAATCCTTTTTAATCCTTGTCATATGAAGAGAAATAATGAAGAGAAATTATAGATAAAACAAATCGGTGCTCATCGGCCATTGGACACAAACATTACACAACAAGTTGGAAATCGCAAATTCAACAATGAGTGGTTTGGAAGGTATCAGTGGCTAACTGCAAGCATTGCAAAGCAATCACTAGCCTGCTATTCAGTGGAGTGGCTGTGTGGTCCCAAGTCTGGGATTAAGGGTCTCTTTTCCAAGGTTAAAATGATAAACATTCAACATTGGCCATGCTGTCAATGAAGCATGATTTGTGCCGCGCTCAAAACAACTGTTAACTTGGAACTGCGAAATCTGAATTCAGTGTGTTCAAGACAAATGGGAACTCAGGAAAAACTAGCTCAGACTGGGGAAAATACGTTTTGAACAGTCATCCAACTCGGAATTGTAAATCGGGAACTTGGGCCTCTTTCTAGAGCTACGACCTGAAGATCACTGACGTCATCATGATTCAACCTTGTTTTTTTTCAGAGTTCCCAGTTATCTTGAAAGCACCATAAATCCAGAGAATGCCAGACTTTGATGACAAAGTTTGATGACAAAATCTGCCCACGAAGGACCGCCGCGCCACCTTCCTGTTCAAGTGAGCACAGCACAACAAGGTGAGTCCAAAAATGTCCTGTATGCCGCTGCATAAATGATGTAATATGCCAGGGAGGTATGTATACTGTAGCTAAGAAAGTAATACTAAGTGTATGTTGTGTAGTAAGCTGTTAGTAGCCCATGTGCCTCACCCTATTTTCCCCTGTTAATTTTGCCTAGTGTTCTGACTTGGTGGTGCACATGTAGCCTATAACCTGTTTTAGAGAAATGTAATCATTTTAATATTGTAAGAGCTTTCATTGTCTGCTTATATACCCCATTTATTTATCATACGGTTCTGACTTGGTGTACAGAGAGAACACTGTAAGAATGGCCCATGTTCTGAATTCTGTCGCTGTACATTTCAAAAGTGCTGAACAAATAGTTATATTGACTACGTCCGTCCTAGCTCGCTCATTAATGTCTTAATCGAAATTACGGATTGCCTCTTATCCGCTCGTCGTCCCCTTATGCCATAGTTTGTACATCTGAATTGTCAGTAGAAACCACATTTGTTTAAGCAAGTCAGCCTTATCAGCTATGTTTTTTTAATAGGCAGTAAATGAGGCTGAATGAACTGTTTCGCTGCCAGACAAGGCTCCGCTGATAGCCAGGTGTAGCAGTGCTAAGGTGTTGGGACAGCTTTATGTAGGCCCTAACAGTTTGTGGGCACCGTTATAGTGTAAGTAATGTATTGTTTAGTGTTGTGGCTTTGCTGGCATGCATCCTACATTGTTTTAGTCATGCTAAAATCGCCACTGTGTGTATCTGATCTGAAAGTACATTTAATGGTGTTTTGCCCACTCACTTCAGAAGCCTCATACCCGCTGTGGCTCCCAGATACACTGGGGTGAGGCGGTGTCTGGATTTGGGGATGTCTTTCAAAGCCTGTTCCAGACAGGGTTGCAGACTGCGCCCTGCACCCCCTCGCTCACCTGCATAGCTGGATACCCCTCCTCCTGGGTAGATATACAACAGAAAATAATAGAGTAGAATAGAAATCAGAAAATAAGTGCACGTGATTTCTGCCAATTTTGACTTGTGCCTAACCTTTTTTCTTTCATGTAAGAGAACGTGTATCTGAATGGATGGAATACAATTTCACAAGTGTTTCTATGGTAACCTGCTCAACTGAAACCAAACTTAAGTTATAGAGGAAGAAATGTAGAGGGCAACCAGCGTACATGGCATAAGAACAGGAACCTGACCACTCAGTTAAGAAACAGAATTACGCAAAAATAATTAGTGAAAGGTCACTTCTGTAATATGAATGTCTCTGACCGGTCATTCCTCAGGGAAACAGACTGAGTTCTCCATTGGAGAACAATTGAAGTGGAAGTTTCCAGAACACTCAAACACTGGATGAGTGCCAGCCTGTCTGGCTCTGATAGACACTACTCAATTCTAAATCCACTACTAGCCCTTACCCTAGGCATTTCATGTAGATTTGGAATGGATAGTTATGCGAAATATGGTAATAGCTCCAACTTTCCCTGAAATAGGCGAGGTGGATTTTGTGTGTGTCATATCAACTTATCCAATCTCTTCAGTTCTTCAGATTTAGTGGGTGTGTTTGGGGTTGATACCTAATTGTGTAGCAGCAAAAGCTCTCTATGCCCTCTTACCCTTAACATGACACTCGCTGTGCTGAGTGACAATGCCAGTGCCATTTTGTTTATCAGCTGGCCACTTGTAGATGTACATGGCAGTGTGGGACGAGCCAGCATCCAGGACTACTCCATACTGAAACAGACAGAACGGTTGGAAATGTCAGAGACACAGGCAAAATAGACATAAGCAACACACGTTTCAGAATTTGCCTGACAATACTACACTACTTTTTTATTTATTGTATGTCTTACACGTGTTGACATTTCAGTGCTTTTATTTTCTATTTTTGTGTTATTTCCCCTGCACAGTGAAAGGTTCCCACAGCAAAGTGTAAGTATCGCTGACCAACATCTGGTCCTTCAAAATGTTTTTCTCGTTAATACAATATGGCCACAAAAGGTCACCATAGTAACTGATGAGGACAGAAAGAAAGAAAGGATAAAAGTAACCAAAAGGGACAATAGAACATTTGCTGAATAAAAGAGGCATGGCTATCCTTTATTCTCTCTATATTTTCACCCTTTATTTTCTTGTCTTTCATCCCTTCCTTTTATGCTTCCCTTTTGAAGTTGGTTTAAAAAATGCTTTCCAGTGAGTGCTCTGAGGTTGGGTTTATTAGGCAAGATAGTGCATGTCAGAGGCACAGCATGTCTGTATCTGAACAAGTGTGCAGGCAAGGGGCATTGCACTGCCAAATTGCAGAAATGCTGGTTTCACTCATATCCAAGTTTCACTATCTGCCTGTGTCACGCCCTGGCCTTGAGAGGCCGGTCGTCTTTAGTTGGTTTGGTCAGGGCATGAGAATCTATGCTAGAAATTCTATGTTTATGTTCTAGGTATTGTATTTCTATGTTTGGCCGGGTGTGATTCCCAATCAGAGACAGCTGTCGCTCGTTGTCTCTGATTGGGGATCATACTTAAGTAGCCTGTTTGCCTACCTTAGTTGTGGGATCTTGTTCCGTGTTAGGCTTGTATGTGTTTAGTCTGAGGACCTCACGTTACGTTGTTTAGTTGTATGTTTATTTGAGTTAAATAAACATGTTCGCATACCATGCTGCACCTTGGTCTGACCCGTCTCTCAACGAGCGTGACAGCCTGTCTCTGACATGTCTTCATGTATAATTACATGTTAAATTTAATCTAACTTTTTAACTCCACATTATGCACATCCATAGTATAAATAATACTGCATTTGTGGTTTATTGTATTGTCTTTGTAATGGGAAATATACATAACCGGTCCGGGATGCTTTAGAGAGCATTGTTTCTACAGATTCCAAGAATGAACCGTATTCTACTGAATGGAGCATAAAATACACTGAACAAAAATATAAACACAACATGTAAACTGTTGGTCCCATGTTTCATGAGTTGAAATAAAATATCCCAGAAATGTTCCATATGCACAAAAACCTTATTTCTCTCAAATTCTGTGCACAAATTTCTTTACATCCCTATTAGTGATCATTTCTGCTTTGCCAAGATAATTAATCCACCTGACAGGTGTGGCATATCAAGAAGCTGATTAAACAGCATGATCATTACACAGGTGCACCTTGTGCTGGGGACAATAAAAGGCCACTCTAAAATGTGCAATTTTGTCGCACAACACAATGCCACAGATGTCTCAAGTTTTGAGGGAGCGTGCAATATGGGCATGCTGACTTCAGGACCAGCCACCTGGACAGCTGATGAAACTGTGGGTTTGCACAACCGAAGAATTTCTGCACAAACTGTCTCAGGGAAGCTCATCTGCGTGCTCGTCATCCTCACCAGGGTCTTGACATGACTGCAGTTCGGCATCGTAACCGACTTCAGTGGGAAAATGCTCACCTTCGATGGCCACTGGCAAGCTGGAGAAGTGTGCTCTTCATGAATGAATCCCGGTTTCAACTGTACCGGGCAGATGGCAGACAGCGTGTATGGCGTCGTGTGGGCAAGCGGTTTGCTGATGTCAACGTTGTGAACAGAGTGCCCCATGGTGGCGGGTGGGTTTTGGTATGGGCAGGCTTAAGCGACGGACAACGAACAGAATTGCATTTTATCTATGGCAATTTGAATGCACAGATACCGTGACGAGATCCTCATCTTTCAGCATGATAATGCACGGCCCCATGTCGCAAGAATCTGTAAACAATTCCTGAAAGCTGAACATTTCCCAGTTCTTCCATGGCATACATACTCATGAGACATGCCACCCATTGAGCATGTTTGGGCGTGTATGGCATCGTGTTTCATCTAGCGTCTTCTTGTTCCTGTGTACAACAGCGTGTTCCAGTGTCCGCCAATATCCAGCAACTTCGTACAGCCATTGAAGAGGAATGGGACAACATTTCACAGGCCACAATCAACAGCCTGATCAACTCTATGTGAAGGAGATGTGTCGTGCTGCATGAGGCAAATGGTGGTCACACCAGATACTGACTGGTCCACACCCCTACCTTTTTTTAAAGGTATCTGTGACCCAACCGATGCATATCTGTATTCCCAGTCATGTGAAATCCATAGATTAGGGCCTGTATATCAGTAACATCTTTGAAATTGTTGCTTTTATACTTTTGTTCAGTGTAAGTCTTCAATTGAGACTATGTGCTGCAAAAATATGACAAACAATAGCTTGGATATTAATTGCAATTGTGATGCACTCCCTGCTGCAATGCATATCATCACCACTTTAGGAGTTCCACATGCTCCTTTGTGTTAAGAGGGAAAGCATCGTTAAACCCACATTCAAATCAAACAGTGGATTTTAAAAACACGGATTACATTGTGAGGAATAGCAAGTTGGTGGATGGACCCCTGATAAAAACGTTGGAATAACAGTTGGACTGTAGCTCTGGCTGGTTTCTCAGAGTGACCCCATAGTACAAAAACACAAAGCATATTGTTTACAAATATTATAGTAAACTAAATGCTATTATATCTTGTGTTGTTTGCGAAAATATTCAAAATAGGCCTATGTTTTCCTAGCCCCTATTATCGCATGCCTTTATAATAACATTATAACCAACATCTTTTCAGCTTGAAGTGAAGTCCTACAATACAGCTGTAGGCATATAGTCTACATAAAGTAACAACATTATTTGTAACAGCTTGGCACCAACTGGTGCTTTAATTAAACAACATGTGTAGTGATCAGTCTCTGCAATGATTAAGTAAGATTCTATAAAACAGTTATCACATCAGACCTAACGTTATTTTCCTCTAATTTTCTCTAGGCTATTTCGTGAAATGATTGGCCAAGCCACTCATCGACAGGTGTATGCAAATACGATCAGTACATTCATTTTCGCGCCCGTAAACATGAGAAAAGGTAACGAACGTTATTACCATGAATTGTGGAGGTTCCTTCACGTCGTCACTCGGGATGACGACCAGTAGAATCCCTGCTATTCCCAGTAGCAGGAACACGGCCGGGGCTATGACTTGACGGTACTGGGTACACATGAGGCTGCCCTGTCGCTTCTGACACATAGACCGACAGACGAGCCAAGTTGCTGGTTGCCACAGCCGGTGCCAGCAAAAATAAGAATAACAGCGAACCCATGCATGAGTAAAGTGAAAGGCTTGTGTGGGAGAGAGTGCGGATGTGGGCTTGGCCAGATCCATTGTCCTATCAACACATGCCCTGGAATATAAAAAATAAATAAAAAAAATAATAATTAACCCCCAGCGGTGGCAAACACACCAGTGATAAAACCTGAACTTACTCCGGAGAAAATATTATTTGATTGAATGACAGTGTTGAGTAGGATGAAAATCCTTAAGGGGACCAAATATAATTGTGTTTGGATACTCACTCAGATGGTGAGTAATATGTATCCAATGAGAATGCAAATTAAAACAGGTTATACACAATGTAATGTCTAGGCCTGCATCTGTTCTAGCTTGAAGCATAACGTGTACAGTAACCACCATAACAAACTAAAACTCTACATTTAGAAATAAAGTGAAATGTCAAACAAGGACCACTAGACCTAAGGTGTTCACTGTGAGTTGATGACATCATGTTGGTATTCACATTAGTCCTCATGTAACCTTTGTTCAGCTCAAGTGAAAACATCAGAACCATGTCCTAAAGACTAGAAGAATGCTTTCTTTTTACCCATCAATGTTCTTATCCACACTCCATTTTTTTTTGCCATTCACACCCATTACTGTTTGCTCTCTAAGAGACATTCAGGGGTAATATTAAATGCAGATTGTCAGCCACATCTGAAATGATGGTGTAACGATGCCCTGCAGTTGGTCTGAAGCTACAGATGTCTCCGCTGGTCATGATAGCCATAGAGCGAGAGTGAAGTCTGGAAGGACACACACAACACTGTGCCGACATTTGATATTTGATCATATTAGCCTACAGCAGGTCCACACACATTTAATAGAAACATGTTTCCTTTGAAAATACCATTAGGAAGAAGAAGACTATACGTCACCCTCTTGTGGCACAATATTGTCATCACAGCTTATTTGACGAATCAGGTACAATTGTGATGAATAAGAATATCAAGCTAATTTGGACAGATTTAGTTTTTTTGATCGATGACGCAAAAATTCTACTCTTGATTGGTACAAGTGTTTGCTCTGTACTTGATATCTCTATTGGTCAGGTTTTGCTGCCCTGAAAGAGTGGACTAATTCAAAATCAAGATCAATATAAATGCTAGACTTTTGAAAAATGTATGACCTTAAATCTTTCATCTGTACTATTTTACTGTCACTTTATTTACCTCCATTTGAAATGTTTATCTAATTTGAACCAGTGGAGGGTGCTACTCTCTCACAATTATATGTGAGGCAACCTACAGGCATACCCTGGTCTATGCTTTGAGAAAATTACCCAACTCTGGTTAATTCAACCACAATTGAACCAGCAGTAACCCACATTCCATGTCTATCTTCTTCATTGGTGTCCATGCTTCTTTCAACAGCAGAGATCATGAGTCTAATCATCCATCAATATAGCATGGCGACCTGGGTTAAAGGCAGCTGTCAGATCGATACAAATTAGGCCTATAATTCTGCTCATCTGCCTGCAGATGTCAAATGATACATTTTCAAAGGAGATTGATTTTCAAAAGAGGAATAGAATGTCACACCTCCCAGGGAGTCAGTGACCTCAGGTTGTGTGTTTGCTGAGGTTTAATTTTGATGAAGAGGAGCTGTGTTTTCTAGTCTGTCTTCAAAGGCTGAATGAATGTGTGATTAGATTGGCATAGGTAATCTATAAGGTCATTTAAAATTAGTTTCAAAGTATATACATTATGCTGTTTGATGTGTCCCAGAATGTCCAGCAGTACAGCAGAATCTATCCAAGCCTCCCCCGATGCTTTACTCTCCAGTGTGGCCAAGACAGTGTGTGGTGTGGCGTTCATGCCGAACTGTAGATGACACTGAAGCTGGTGACATGTACTGGAGTTGGGTGAGGGGTGAGATGCACGGGTGTTTGATTGCTTGAACAGAGCAGGGGGAAAACATAATACAAATGGCGGAGAGGTGAAGAGGTTAGGAACATAATTCTGAAATGCACAGATAAATCAGGAGTGTCCAGGCAGTCAGGCAAGGCCACTCCTCTCTCCTGCAGGGCCAGCTCTGGTCCAACCAAAAACCACCTGATGTTTCCTCTCTAAGAACAATACTGTCACTGTTCCATCCCCCGGGCCTGGTACCGGGTCCCTAAGGACTTACACAGGCTGCTGCTGCACATTGGAGGACCAGGGCACCGGGAGGGCATTCACACCTTGTTAAGTTTTACAACTTGTGCATTTGTCGATCCCAGTCCTCTATTGCCCCTGTGACTAAGGCAAGCCTTTGAAGTGACTTTCTCCACAGAGCAAGGTGATGGAGAAAGATTATCCCTTATGGATGTGAATGATGCAACATTGCCGTCATGCATACAGCATATTGGCAAGTGACACAGGCAGACAATATATACTATAGGAGACAATTGTTTTCTGCCACTTGAAAAGTCATAAGAAGAGACGGAAATTACACAACCAAGTGTAAGAAATCATGTCAATACTGTACAGTTTGACAAGCAGAATACATTTAAGTAAAACACAGATAGACAAAGGTAGTTTTATCAACCATAACAACTACGTTATGTCATTACGCTGACACTTTTATGAATAGTCCCTTATAAGTGATGCATACAGTAAGACAGGGAGCAGAACTAATGGAGCTATTGCATGCCACACATGTCAAGCCATGGAATCTTTGTGACTTCTAGAGGGCTCATCACTAAAGTCTACTAATCCATCTATTGCACGCTGGAATTTATAGTGAAAAAGTATTTCTATTTAATGCAAGTTCACAGTTTCCATGTAGGACATGTCAGTTGTGGCTTGCATGGATTGCTTCACTTTTGTTCTGAAATTCTTTCCCTTTTACTTGTACATGCAGCCTGGTCTCATAGACTAGACGTAAAATAGTAAAGGAAATCCAGCACATTTAAATTAGTATGATATGTTACATTTGGCATGGTTACATAAAACAGAAGGTTCCGTAATGCAAAAACCAAAAGAGGGTGGATGGGTGGGCGTATAATGCAGTGGAGGCTCCTCAGAGGAGGAAGGGGAGGACCATCCTCCTCAGTGAATTTCATAAAAATAAAAATGGTAAAACATTAAAAAAGTTATCCTTTTTAGATAAAACTATACTAAATATATTCACATGTCACCAAATAATTGATTAAAACACACTGTTTTGCAATGAAGGTCTACAGTAGCCTCAACAGCACTCTGTAGGGTTGCACCATGGTGTAGCCAGAGGACAGCTAGCTTCCGTCCTCCTCTTGGTACATTGACTTCAATACAAAACCTAGGAGGCTCTTGGTTCTCACCCCCTTCCATAGACTTACACAGTAATTATGACAACTTTTGAAGGACGTGCTCCAACCTATCAGAGCTCTTGCAGCATAAACTGACATGTTGTCCACCCAATCAAAGGATCAGAGAATGAATCTAGTACTGAAAGCATAAGCTACAGCTAGCTAGCACTGCAGTGCATAAAATGTGGTGAGTAGTTGAATCAAAGAGAGAGGAAGACAATAGTTGAACAGTTTTTAACAAATTAATTTCTTCAAAAAATGAAGGAGAAGCAAGAGAGAGAGAGTTTCACTTAGATAGCGAATGCAGCTAGCTAGTTTAGCCTATTCAAATCACCCAGCTCAAACAGAGGGATGCTATGTTAGCTAGCTGGCAATGACTATCCAACACAACACTGGAACTCTTCCAAGTCAAGGTAAGCTTTTGGTTTTATTAATTTATTTCCACTGGGGCCCACCGGTGTAAACGCTATACTGCTTAGTGACTGTAACATTACTGCATGATTGTAGGGGGTTTACTAACGCATTAGTTATTTTAGCTATGTTGACTAGGACGTTACTTTAGCTAATATGGTGACAACGATGTAGGCTGTGTGTAGCGGTTAGGTCACATACTGCTGATGTGTTGTGCATTGAAGTCCACAAACGAAGTGAACTGTGTTTACGCGTGATCAGGGGTGTATTCATTCCGCCGACTGTTGAAAAACGTTTCTTAAATGGAAGCAAACGGAACGAAACGGGGATAAACATACCTACATTTGTCCAATAGAAACTCTTGTTTGCAACTGTTGGACTAATGCCTATACACTAGATCAGCTAGATGCAGGCAAGAGTGTGCAAGGCGGTATTGAATGTGTTGCTGTCTGTCCATGTGTCACTGTCTGTCATCTCAAAATTTTCTCTCGACCTGTGTGCAGCTACGTTGTAAAACTTTCATTCATAGGCTAGGTTGTAAAAACCTCATGATGGGTATAGGGAAAATTTGAGTATCACGTAGTAGCCTAAACCTATCGATGTTACATTGAACTGGGTGAATGGAATATGAATGACAGTCATCCAATATGCTGTAATAGAAATAAGGCCATGCTCATAAAAACAATATCATCCTCCCTCATCATAAACGGCACTGACCGCCACTGTTATACTCATCACGAACAACTTTAGCATTTTAGCTAATTAGCAACTTTTCAACTACGTACAACTTTTTAGCTACTTTGCAACGACTTAGCATGTTAGCGAACCCTTCCCCTAACCTTAACCCTTTTAGCTAACCCTTTAACCTAACTCCTAACCTTAACCCTAAAGCCAAGCCAGCTAGCTAACCTTAGCATTAGCCACCTAGCCACGTAGCTAACGTTAACCACAACAAATTGGAATTCGTAAAGTATCATACATTTTGCAAATTTGTGCCATATTGTAGGTTTAGCTAATTCTGAACATATTGTACGTTTTGCAATTTATAACATATCATATGAATTTTAATTCTTAACATATCATGTGAAATGGATGATGGACATCCACAAATTAATACATACCATACGAAACGTAACCACAGGAGGCTGCTGAGGGGAGGACAGCTCATAATAATGTCTGGAACGGTGCAAATGGAATACATCCAACA